GAAGTATGTTCTAATTATTGTGAATTATTAAAACATTCTCTTTCGTTTCCTAAATTTAGAATATTTAGTTTAGTCAAAATTTTTAAAAATAAATATTTTGTTTAAAAACAATAATAATAATAAACAATTGAAACTTTTTTTGAAAATTTTAGTTAGAAATTAAAAAAATAAAAAATAACGAAGATATTATAAAGGTAGTGATATTTTGTATAAATAAGTACTGAATATGGATAATAGTTAAATATCGATTTGTTAATTTTACTGAAATTTGTAATGAAGTAATTTAACGAACATACTAAAAAAAATGAGAATAAATCTATCGAACGAAAAAAGTATTATTTTATTGTCCTAAATATTTATGTATTTTTGTTTGGATATTAATATTAAAAAATAATTATATATTAATACAAAAATAAGGTAAATAAAAAGTAAAATAGAAATATAATAAATACAGTATTTTATTAAATAATTGATAAAAAAAATAATAATAATACTCAATCTATCCCACTCTAGAAGACTTTTTAAATTTTTGTAATAGATTAATAAAAAAACTGGATATTATTTGATTAATGAAAATATGTAAAAAATTTAAACATTTTTGCCCCTTAATTTTGTATACCTTATAGCTATAATTCAATTAAAAAGCAAGAGTATATCTACTATAAAAGAAATATAATAAAAAATACCAAATTTAAAATAAAGCAAATCAAACTAATCTAATCAATAATAAACTATATTTAAATTTAAAATATTTCAAGTATACGTATAAAAATATAAAATAGATGTAATGAAAGTGAACTATGAGAGTATATATATTTATTATAAAGAAAAATAAAAAATACTTTGAAATAACTGATAGAAAAATAAATATTTTATCCATCTAAATTCATTGTGTTTTTTCATTATTTTTGTATTTTTTATGACCCACACATAATAATTTTTTTCTATTATTATTAAATGAAATGTAATTCATATATAAATATTAAAATATCTGTACCTTATTTTCTTTATATTTATACAAGTAAAAATATCAAATTTATCTTACATCATATTATTAATTAATAGAAAATTGTTTTTTTAATGTATTAAACAATAATAGATTAAGTAAAAAATAATACTCAATTTGTCCTATATATTATCCCACAACTTTCATTTCTATTCAAGTATTCATGCTACTACTTATGCCACTTTTTTAAAAAATAATTATGATTATATATTTTATTTTTATTTTTAAAAATTTAAATTTATGTTATTTATATTAATTTTAATTAGATTAATTAAATATTTTAATTTTAATATATAATTCTTTTAATATTTTCATTTCCTCCATGTTACATGCCACATATGATTAACTTAGTGTGACTTGTCCTCGTATTTTTAGATGGTTAATACGGATTTTTACGTTAAAATATATATATATATACAATTATTTTTTAATTTGCTATAAACTTTTCAAAAATCCATTTGAAATGGGACAGAAAAGAGTATGGGTGTGTTTGTTTAGAGAATTTTGTCAAAAATTTATTATTCATTTAAATTTTATTTTTTTTAAAATCACATTAACATTTATTTTTATTTTCTGTATTATTTTAAAAATTAAGTTTATATTCAAAATATCATATCAATATACATTTATATCATATTATATAATTATTTTAATACAAAATTTTTACTATTCAAATCTGAATTCAAAATCCAAAGCCGAGCACACCCTATGAGTTTTTGTACAATATTACCATAAAAGAAAAGAAAAAGTAGCGAAAAGAGAGAAGACAAAATTAGCATGGTAGCACAGCAGACAGCAGAGGGTGGTGAGGGTTGGGATTCTGACAACTCTGTAGTCAGACAAGACTTGCACGTGGACTATGAGTTTGAATTATTGACCTACGCTGGGCCCCACTTCCTATCTTAGGTCCCTATTCACTTAGCCTACCTTTATTAGGTGTTTTTTTTATTAAAAAATTTTAAAAATATAATTTGTAAATAATTTTAAATTAAAATTAAAATAATTAATTAATTTAATTAAAATTTAAAAAATTATAAATTTAAAATAATGTATAATTTTATTTTAAAAAAATAATACTAAAATAAATGAGATGACACAAATAAAAATATAAACACAGTAAATAGGACAGAGAATATTATCTTTTATATCATCTAAATTTTATGTTTATTGTTGTTTTTTTAGCTATCATAAAAAATATTTTTGTGTATTTTAAGTAAAAAAATATTTTTGTCCGTCTCAATTCAAAAAATATATATTTTTTTATTTTTGCTTATTCTTTCAAAAATATTTTATAGTTTACTAAAAATAATCATACAGTAATATTAAAATATTAAAATAATACTCCCTCCCTCCCCGTTAGGGATGAACCATTTTATTAGGGACACAGTTTTTTAAGTAGTATAAATTAGTAAGTTATTAATAATAAGTTATGATATTTGTTTATTATTTTTATATAAATAATATTATTGGTATTTTAAAATATTTTAAGATTATATCTCGAAAAAAATATATGTAATATGAATATCATTTTGTAGATAATAAAATTTTATATAATACAAATAAATAAAAATATTTATTTATCGTTACCATAAATTAGTTTTATAAAAAATGAGAAGTTTTAAATATAGATAAAAAAATTATGTTAATTGAGGAGAGAGATATAAATAAAGGGGTTTTGAGTCGGTCCTACGTGTAAGATGTTAGAAATTTAACTAAATTGATTTATATTTGTTAAATATGTTTAAGATCGATAAAGTTACCAAAAAATAAAAATTGATCATCTTTTGTGGGATGTACAAAAAAAAAAAAAGGGTCATTTGTGGCGGATGGAGGGAGTATTAATTTTTATCTGAATTACAAATATATCATCATACTTAAAATTAATTTATAATAAAGTAAAAGATAAAAATGTCAAAACATTTCACATAATTTCACAATAAAAAAATATTACTACCTTTTGTCTCATAAAAATGTAATATTTGTATTTTGTGTCATTGTATTTAACATAAAAAAAATATTCTTATAATTTGTATAATTTATTCAACAGATATTGTATTTGTATTATAAAAGACTAGTAGAGATATTTTTGTATTTTTTTCTTTATGTATACGATGTATTAATATAATAACTAATATTCAAATATCAAAATATAAAAAATTTATGATATTCTTCTTATAAATTAGAGGTAATATTATTTTTTAATTTACTACAAACTTCGAAAAGTCCTTTTGAAATCAAATGAAAGAAGAACATAATTTTTTATTTTTATATTTCTTATTATAAAAAATTGTAAATACTAATTATTAACTTATAAAATAAGTATCTAAAAAAATTAATTTTTTCATAACATAGAATAATATCTTTTTAAGTTTGCAAATTTGAATTTAATTTAACTAATATTGAATACTATATATTATATGAAGAAAAATGTATATTATTTTGACAACAATAAGTATAAACAGTATAAAAAAAGGCATTACTATCTTTATCGCAATTTATTTGTTAGTATTAATTTATATTTAAATTCTTTATACTTTTCTTTACTTTATATTTAGTATTAACTTTGGGTTATTATCAAAATAATTTATAAAAATATTAAAAACAAAAAAAAAAAAATTCATTAAAATTATTAGTATAATAATATCATCTAAAAAGATATATTTATAAAAATATTGAACCATGGTGATTTTTAGGGTGTGTTTGTTTCGGGGGATTGGATTTTAAATTCACTATTCATAGCATTTTTCTCCCCCAAAAACATCAAATCAAACACTTATTTTTTATTTTTTATATTATGCTAAAAATCAATTTTACATTCAAAACAAACATCACGTCAACACCTATTTATATCACATCATACAACTATTCAAATTTAAAATTTTACTATTCAAATCTCAACTCAAAATCCAAACCCCTAAACAAACGCACCCTTAAAATTGAAATGAAAGCCAGACAAACCCAATTTATTCTCCTTTGAATTTTATTTTCAATTTTTACTATACCATTCTTGTTATTTTCAATAATATCTTCTTTTTTGGGGGTAGTTAGCATATTATGCAAAAGCAAAGGGTCAATTTAGAAAGCAGAGAAACTGGAAATTAATTATTTGATTAATTTGAGTATTTGATCAATTAAGTTGTCCTTATACGGGGAACAATCCCACATGCTTTTCTTTCTTAATTTTCAATACTCATCTGAATAATCAAGGCTGTGTTGAAATTTGGGGTACGTTCACTTTTGAATTATTGTTATTATTATTTTTATTATTTTTAAAAATTTAAATCTTACTTTAAATAATACTTCATTTAATTCTAAAACTTTTGTTCAAAACTTATGAGTGTATTTACCCAATCACTCACTATTGATATAATTTTCGATAAATATAATTAAAAATATAATATATATATATAATTATAACTCATATATAAGATATATTCCCTCCATCTATCAAAAATTTTAATACAAAATATTTATTTTTTATATACTACAAACACGAATTGTCATACATAATGTGTATCCAAAAATACAAATATTGACACTCTATGTTTAGGGTATTTATTAAGTTTTATTTAAAATTTTATTAATATATCTATTTATTTTTATTTAAAATATTATATTAAAAAATAAATTATAGCATATAATACATCTTAACAAAAACCCATTATTATTTTTATTGAATTTAGAATGGTAACTTAACTTTTATTTATTTCTTTTATGAATTTTTAATTCCTCGAAGTAAAGAAATCAGCTTTATGCAGTTTGTGTAGTTTAATTAACTAACAGCACTTTTGACTAAGATTCTTTGGAGAGGGATAATGTAGTTCTTATACTTATTTTAGAAATTTACAACATATATTATATAAATTTATATGAATTATAAACATCCAAAGAAAGTATTCAAACCTTCATGAACATAACAACAAATATCTTAGAACGTAAAATTAAAAAAAAAAAGAAAAAAAAAAAGAATAAAATCTTGGTTCTTAAAGTTCTAAATTGTATAAATTACCATAGTAAGACAATATAATGTAATAGGTACAAGGAGATGATTTATTGCAAGAACCTCAACAACTATTTACATATTTGGCGACATTAACATTGTTCGAACAATGTAAGATCAATACATGCGGAGAAGATAATTCTCGCCAAAAAATCAGTAGTTGAATGTATAAATTAAAAACCCGACAAATAATCAATCTCGACTACAATTACATTAATTCTTCGCATTAATATATATATATATATCAATCGTGCCAACAAATGAGCATGACTACGCATCTCCGCATAATGTAAAGCTTCCCTCTTTGTTCTTTGAGAAACCTTCCCAATCTTCGATTTGGCGGCGCTAATCTTTTCTTCGATCTGATTTCTTCTTCGGGCCTCGTCGGATTTCCCATTTTCAAGAAAATTAAATAAAAATAAAAATATCTTAAATTTTGGATGGATAACTAAGGATTGGTCACTACTGTCTCTGCAAATGCAAGTTGAGTTTTGAAGGCTTGGCTTGGGGTCATATATATAGTGTGATGGGGGTGGGGTGGGTGGAATGGGTGGGGTGCCACGTCATCATTATAATTTATGTAAAGGGTAGTATTTATTTACATAACAATCATCATTTGGAAGGGTATCAATTTTATTCTATTTTATTGTTTTTGTGTTTTGTTCCCCCCAACTATATTTTAATGCATTTGAGTATAGAATTAAATTTTGGCTCTAAAGCTAATGTACTTACTTGTCGGGAACTGTATGGAATTCAATTAAGTTGCTTCTTTCTTTTTTTTTTATTTTGGAAAAGCATAAAAGATTTTATTAAATTAATATATATATAGAATTAAAATAAAAAGTTGGTACTAACAAACACAGCCTAATTTACATCTAATAATACGATGACAAATAATAAGTACGACAATCATTTGCATATGCTTTAAGTTTGTTCAGTCTTACACTTACTTGTGTGTATAATATATATTTATATTATTCAGTCAAATATTGCAGCTCTGCATAGTGAAAAGGCACTCATACTGTTCACAATATGAACTCCATATTTAATGCCCACATACATAAACACATACATACATAGTATAATATTAAAATTCAGGATAAATTATTGAGTGGATTGCATTCACTTTACATTTCATCACATTTTAAAAGTTATAATATAAATAATAATAATAATAATAATAATAATAATAATAATAATAATAATACGAAAAATGTGTATAAATTAAATAGAAAAAAGTTTACAAGTTTTACATAGAATTTCACCTTTTTATATTTATAAAATTACCTCAAAAAAAAAAAGAACAAAATTAAATCTGAAAAAAAAAAAACCAAAAAAACAAAAAGGTAATGAAAGGCAAACGAAAGGGTATATTAGTAATTTTACTAAGATATAGTAATTAGTATTATAATAGGAATGGCTGCTTGGATAGCATAGTTTAGTGAAAAACACTTTGTTATGGGACTTAGGGGCATTGGTAAACATGTTTTTGCCTTGTGCTTCCCCACCCAGTTTATTGAAAACATCAATTTTACCTTTATACATCCAAAAGTATATGGCTCTTTTAAATATTCTACTATTAATTATTTTTAATTGGATTTAAAATAATATATATATATATAATACTTCTTTTACCTTTCATTCTGCAATTATTTTTAACTTATTTATAAATATTCGAAAAACAAGCAACAGAATTAAGAATGTCGACTTGTTAGGGTGAGAGTGAATTCTTTCTTTCTTGGTTTAGCAAATTGCTTAGTTTTTTTAAGCCTGGAAGACATATAGTATATATCTCGATGCAGCGGCGGAACTAGAATATTATTATAGAGGGGGCAAAAATTTTAAATTTACAAAATAAATTTTTTTAGTTGTAAAATAATATCAATATCGTCAACTTAATAAATTTATATTTACTGTTTTATACTAATATTAAATATTAATTATTATATCTAGTTCAAAAAAAAAATTATTAGTAAATATTGATATATTATATTTTGAAAAAAAAAAGAAAAACTAATGCACTTTCTTATTATAAAAAATCAACACTTTGATATTATTATTATTATTATTTTTATTTATTTTAAATATTTTCTATGGATTATATATATATTATTTTTTAAAAATAAAAAAATCTAATAAAATAGAGTAAAAGTGGGGTTGGGTGGAACAAGGGTGGGCTGCCCCTTAATAGTCCGCGACTGTCTCCATGCTGTTGGAACACATGACACAGTACAACAGCATCCATATTTGTCCTGTATTATTTATTTATAAATGATTATTAATTATTACTCTATCATCTGATAAATATACAGGGACGGAAGTACACAGGGCTATGATCCAGTCCCAAAATAGAAATATTTTTTTAGTATAAAAAATAATAATAAAAATATGTGTTTTATATTAACTTGTCTTCCACTTTTCAAAATTTTACTATGTAATATAAAATATTTATAATTTTGTTGATTTACACTTTTAATTTCTTTTTTTAGTAAAAAATATTAAATGTTATGTAATTTTTGTTGAATTTTTTCACAATATTTAATTTTTGTCTATTTTTTATTCTTTTTTTTCTCTTATCCCATTGTGCCGAAAAGAGATCGACAATATTAAATTGGTAAATATGAGACATTTTCTTCTTGAAATTTTACGGTTGGTTCCGTAATTGTAATATATGAGTTTCTTTACTTTTACATTTATATTTTAAAATATTAATATTGTATATATGTAGTACAGTAGGGGTGTGTTTGTATACGCTATTCATCCTATTTTTTATATTATACTAAAAATTAATTTTACATTCAAAACATCGCATCAACACCTATTTATATTACATTATACAACTATTCAAATTCAAAATTTTTACTATTCAAATCTCAACTTAAAATCCAAATCCCAAACAAACTAGTAAATAAAATTATTTTATTCAACTTAATCAATATTTACTATGCATTATTATATCACAGGATAAAATAGAATTCGCAATACTAAGATAGTATTAATTAATTTTTAAAAATCTATTTTGCTCTTCAATAATAGTCAACCTAATAGTATTAATTTTATAATATATAATTAAGGATATCTTTTTAAAAATAAATAATAATATACAATAATCATTTAAAATAATATTAAATTATTTATCATATAATTATATAATCAATTAAAATATATTATATATTATAAAGTAAAAAAATAATGAAAAGACAATTTTACTCTTAGAAAATTAAAAACAATTTACTTCAACAATGATAATGACATTTTTGTAGAAGTATGCAATTAACTAATTAATTAATATTATTATTATTATATTATTACTATTATTTTTGAAGTTATGTATGGAGCACGACTATTAAGAAAAATAGATTTTCGGACACATCAAAATAAAGAAATAACGCAGTTCTATTTTTATTTATTTGTTATAGTATTATATATAAATGAAGAAATGCATGGGTGATCACAAGGGGGACAGTACATATACATACATGCATACATATATACGTATATATACGTAATACACTATTACAGTGTCGCGCGCTCACAGTACGAGGAGGACGACCTCTCGACAGCACCCGCGGCACGTGACCCGGCCCCCTGCACGTGATCGGATTGAGATGGTTCACGCTCCCTTAATTTTTTTTTATTTATTTATTAATTAATTAATTCATCCATATTTAACTTTTTCTTTTTTAATTAATTATTCATTCATTCCTATGGATGTGGTCATTAGTGGAATTAGTAAGGGTTAGCTTTGTTGAGGTCTAAATCTAGTGGAAGATTTGAAAAAAAAATAAAATAAAATAAATTATATTTTATAAATTTAATATGAATTTTATTAGTACTAGATTTTTTTGGAAGAAATTAGAAAATAAATCCGTATATATTCAGTACGCTAACCAGTTCAGAGCTGACAATATTACTGAGATATTTTAGATATTCATTTAATAGATTTATATCTAGATTTCATTTTATTCATAGATTAGATTATTAGATTTGAGTTTATCAAATCTATTTTGTATTGCCTATACATTGGCTCTTTATTTTCATGATCAATAAAAATGTCTTATTATTTTTCCTCGTAATTTCTAAAAAAAAAAAAAAAAGAATCTTTAATTGTTTCAAAGAAGTGGAGACATGTATCGTGGGAATCTTTGAGATTCAGTGAATACATACCAACTGTGGGAATGAATTTTGGGGTTTAAGACATTATCCTACTGGTTAGGGTTCTGGCTGCAAGAAACACGTAATTAATATTGTTACATATGTGTATATGTAATTAGCAAAGTTCAGTTAATGATATATATAGATATTGCTGATGAAATCCTCTTTGGAATTTGGTGTTGTCTGAGAATCCGGATTTTTTATATATATTTTATTGCTGGATTGATTTAATTAATCACAGTACCATACTGTACGTTAACATGAATTATTTAAAATTATATTAAATTTTTATATAAGGTACTCCGTCTATCTCACCACAATTGACGATGTTATTTTCATTTTTGTCTTTCTCATAACAATTGATATATTTCTATTTTTGGTAAAAATTATTAAATCAAAACATAGTTAACAAATATAAATCAATTTAATTAACTACATAACATACAATCATACACAACGTAGACCCACTCAAAACCCCATTATTTTTACCTCTCTCTCCTAAAAAAAAAAATATATTTTTATCTATATTTAAAACTACACATTTTTTATAAAATTGATTTATGTTAATTATAAATAAACAAATTTTTTTTTTATTTACTTGTATTATATAATATTTTATTCTTTACAAAATGATATTCATATTGCATATACTTTTTAATTGTTATATAATTTTTAAATATTTAAAAACATATATTTTAATTTTTTTAATCATATATATTAAATTAACTTATAAATATAAATATTACTATTAATTATACAAAAACAAAACAATATTATAATATCATAATTAATTATTATTAACTAATTAAACCTTCTCAGTTTAAATATCATGTCCATAATCAAATGGTTCAATTCCGATTGAACGGAAGGAGTATTTATTTAATATGAAAACAACTAATGCTACCAAAAAAAAAAAAAAAAAAGAAGAAGAAATAATGGTACATAAGCAATATCTCTGTACAATTTGGGATTTGGTTACACCTAATTTAATTCAACAGATTTTGTCATTAATTGTAATTAGTTGTTATTTTTTATATATGATCTCAACAGGAAATTCTAAATTAATATAATATAAATACTAATAATTCACATAACACCTTATATTGATTTAGTACATTTTACATATTAGCAACCATACTAACTAATAATAATATTGACAATCATATTAACGTCCGATAATAGATGACATGTGAAAATGGATTCAAACTCATAGATTCAGACTTGATACCTTCAGACATTTCCTGTGATATGTCCAAATATTTGAACATAAATTTGGATAAGAATGAGTAATAAGTTACATATGCATATATATATATATATATATACATATATTGTCTTTTTTATATTAAAAATAAATACAATTTTTTAATAAAAAATAAAAAGGAGACTACGTTTTTTAGGTACTTATAGATATGACTTACAGATGGAGTACATAATTAAACAATATAATATAGGAATTAAATTGTAAAATAAAAATTAAAAAAAAAAAACTATTTTAAGCTTCATTTATTTCTTGGGCCTACATACGTAGGCCTTGAGATAATGGGCCGAAAACATCGACCCAGTCAGATTGAAAATTATGGGCATCATAAGAATGGGCCTATTGGGTTTCATACAGCATTTAATTCAGGCCCAATTTTCTGGAGGGAGGGAAATCTCTTGTTACGGTCAAAACGGCGTCGTTGCCTAGAAAGATTTTTCCAATCTGTCCTGAAAGAGATTACACTTGTTTGATCCTCTTGGCATTTTTATGGATAGTCAAATTTCTAGGATTCATTCGAGAAAGGATAATGGAAGTCGCCAGGAAGCTGCTGCTGACAACAGTGAGTTTGAACGATTCTCTCAGAAATTTCACCATCACCGTGTTCTGATTGTTTGATTATTCAGCCTTCTCTGGTATTTGAGCTGCCGAAGTCAATGTATTGGGGTCAATAGTTAAGAGCACTTCAGTCAACAAGCAGGTTTGGATTCGTGAACCTAGTCTCTGGATTCAGTTGTTTTTCCGGCAAATTTTCCGATATTGCACCGTAATGGGCGGTCAGATGAGCCGCGCTTGTAGAAGCAGTAGTATGCGTCCATGGCGGCAGCCGTCGAGGGAACCGCCGTCTAGGTCTTCGTCAAACCCTAGCTCCAATTCTAGGTCACAGTCGGACGGATCGACCAATTCAGATCTGAGTTCATACGTAGAGGCGTGCCGCTCCGATCCAGATCTACGGAGCTTCGACTCCAGCCTCCAAGCGCGGACGAGTCGAGCAATCAATTCCATAGCCGTCGGCCTCGATGCACGGTCGCTGCCGCTCGAGTCGCTCAGCCAAGTTACGGAGTTCATGCTCGAAACGAATCAGGAAGTCGTCAAAATCATTCTCCGGAACAAAAACGACATTTGGAAAAGCAAGGAACTCTCCGATCTAGTCGACGATTACTTCGACAACAGCCTCGCAACTCTCGATTTCTGCACGGCGCTCGACGCGTGCCTGAAACGCGCCGGCCGCATCGAGTCGATCATCAATGTAGCTCTGCGGAAATTCGAAGAAGAGCACAACGCCGCTGTCGGAGAAGGATCGGCGAAGGATTATTCCAGAACGCTCGCGGAATTAAGAAATTTCCAAACAGCTGGGGATCCATTCACATCCGAATTCCTTAACGTATTCAATTCTGTTTATTCACAGCAGCGGTTGATGCTGGAGAGGCTCCAGGCTAAGAAACGGAAGCTCGACAAGAAATTGGGGAAACTGAAAGCATGGAGGAGAGTCTCCAACGCCATTTTCGTCGTAACCTTCGCATCAGTGCTAATATGCTCTGTAGTTGCAGCTGCAGTATCGGCTCCACCGGTGCTAACCGCACTGGCGGCAGCTGCCGCCGTGCCGCTAGGCTCAATGGGGCGGTGGCTAAACTCAATCTGGAAGAAATTCGGAAAGGATTTAAAGGGGCAAAGCGAGATAGTCGGATCAATCCAAATAGGAAGCTTCTTAATGATCAAGGATTTAGAGAGCATTCGTGTGCTGGTCCAAAGATTTCAGATTGAGATCGAATCATTGTTGATGAATGCAGATTTTGCGCAGAGGGGAGACGAGGCTGTAGTGATTGCAGTCGAGGAGATCAAGAAGCAGGTGGATGGATTTGTGAGGACTATACACAATTTGAGCGAGCACGCCAATAATTGTACTCAGGAGACAAGAATGGCGAGAACATTGGTGTTGCGAAGGATCATGAGTTACCCGAATGGCGCGAATCAGGACATCGGCATGGCTTCTTTATAGCCGCTGACGGGTATGTTTCGATTTCTTGAAGCTGCCATCGAATTTGTTAGTTATTGCTAACTTGTTTAAATTATGTGTTAAATGTATAGTAGTGTAAAGAAAGTGCTGATGATGGCATTTGGAATTTAGACATTGTTTCCTAAGCAATTGGTAAGAAGAACACAGATGACTACTTTTGTCTGTCTGTGTGATAGAGAGTCGAAGCTATAGAACATACAGTATATTGATCAAGAAAGAACTTTGTTCGATTTGATTATGATTCGAACATCTTTCATTTGAATCATGCTTTTGTTGCAATAAGTTACATTGGTGTATCTTTGTGGACTTTCATTATGTCCATGGGTCTTGATGGATGATATAAATGATTATCTCACCTGATAGATCGTGTATTTATTGATAAACGTCACCAAATAATAATATTACATGTTAAATAAGAATGTGAAAATAAAAAATAATAATAATAATAATAATTGCTAGGTTTTGGGCTTGTAGGATTTTTTAGGCAGAATAATTTAATTGTTTCTTTGTAATTCTTACTTTTTATTTATGATGATTTTATAAACTATATGGATGAAGGTAAGTTGAAATGTTTTTTTAGTATAAAGTAAAGAAAATTGTAATAATAATAAAAATAACATTCCAAAATAAAAATAATTGTAATAGTAAGTAAATTGGAACGAGTGGAATATATAGTTTTTGGTGTGCAGAGTGATTGGGCCTAAACATGGTCATACTGGACTGGAATGGCCCAGATCTCTATAAAATTAAAATTAAAATATAGTAGTAACACTTACTAATTTTGTGTTTGTTTGTGAGTTTGAATTTTGAGTTAAAATTTGAATTGTTAAAGTTTTGAATTGAAATAGTAATATGATCGTGATATAAATATAGATTGATATGATTTATTGAATATAAAATTGTTTTTAATGTAATATTAAAAATAAATATTTGATTTGATTTATATGGATATTTTAATATTAATTAATATATTTTTAAATTTAGTAATTACTAAATTATTTGAAAATTTATAGTATTATTTTTCATTTTTGTATTATTTTTATTTAATTGTGACAAGTAAAGAAATTATATATAATTAGTTTGCAAAAATATATTAAAAATATTATTTATGTAAAAAAACTATAAAAATATTGCATGTAAATTAAAATTTTAAATTATTTATAATAATGTCAAATTGATTCAACAATTTATCTTATATAGTCCTAATTCTTTTGTATGAAAAAAAAAAATTAATTCAAATACTATATAAAAATAAAATATAAATGTAAATAAAATATATTCCCGTCGTCCCAATACAATAATCTTGTTTATCATTTTTATCCGTCTCAAAACAATAGTCTTATTTTCATAAATAATCATATCACCATAAAATTATTTTTATTTTTCATTTTTATTACACAATTATCACTATTTTTTACACTAATACACTCGTAATGACTATCTATATTTTTTACCAATTATTAATATAATATTAATATTTTTTAAATTCCGTACCCAATCCAGTTAAAACTATAATTTCTAAACGGAGGGAATATATATTTTCTTATATCATATTGTTTAAATTCAAAATTTTTAAAATTCAAATCCTCAGCTGAGCCAAAGCCCCAAACCAACACCTTGCCGAAAAAAAAAAACTTTTAATACCAAAGAGGAAATATGTTAATTAATAATTTCCGTTATTCTACGCCACGAATAAAAAAATTGTATGGTAAGGCTAGACTCGGTGTATGTACATTCACTATCTTGCGCCGCAGTTTCCGACCTCATTACTTGCACTGCACCATTACCCGTTTAGCCTTCCCGGGTTCGGGTCTTCGGATAAATATCCGCCCAACATTGTTATGTGGCGACACGTTAGCGTTAACACAGCAATATTCCCTCCGTGTTTGGCTGAGGTCAATTCTTTACCGCCCCCCAATATTATGGACTTCCTTTTTTCAAAAATATCCAAACACGTCAGCCTCACCCAACTCGATCCTCTCCTCTGCGCTCCGCTCCACTGTATCTCTACCCTCTCCCAATCCCCATCCACCACGTGTCAATTGCAGAAAAACATACAAAGTCCAGGACCTCAGTCCTAGATGCATTCTTTTTTTGTTACGCTCGAATCCTGGACCTCCTACTCCTACCTTTTTACCTCTGTGGAAAATCGAAATAAATCGACGGTGCCTATCGGAGCAATCTCAGCCAGACACGTGTCCATTGTGAAAAACGGTACCCGTGAAAATTTCTGCCATGAACTCACGATACAGAAAATCAGAAAAAATGTAAATAATAATAATGGATTTTATTTGCCATTTTTGTGCGAATATTCCAATGTTTTGGGCTGTGACAGTATTTTTTACTTTTTATTTAATTTTTAAACCTTCTGGTGGTAAAAAATAAAAAAATGAATTAAATTTACGAAAGTAATTGTTGAATTTTGGACCGTACGCGTAGGGATCTATAAATAGACTTTTTCAGTTACGTTATGCATCTCCATTGTTGCTTTTGAACATCAGTTTTAACGCATTAAGCGCACCTCTCTCAAAACACGCTTACACAAATTTCTTCGGTCGTTCGCATCAATGGCGTTCCGGAGAGTAGTCGCTCAGCGCCTCTTCGGCGTGTCCAGAATGGCCGTAACTAACTGTCGAGTTTCGTCGCCCTGCACGGCGGCGCAGTCGAAGGTGTTGAATCAGGCGGGGAGTAGGATCGCTTCGGATCCAGGAGATTATTACGGTTTTATTTTCCGGCGATACATCCACCGCCACTCGTCGTCGCTGTCGCCGGGGCTGAGGTTTCTGCCGACGGGAGAGAAGCTTGTGGAGAAGGTCAGGGAATTGGATAATGCCAGGAGCGGCAGGATCCGGCTGGATGGCTTGAGACTGGCGAAAGAGGAGGAAGAGGCTGCGGCGGCGGCGGCGGCGGAGGAGGAGGGGAAACAGGTGTTGAAGGATGCTGTGAAGATATTGCAGCTGTCTCAGCTTGAGATGGTGAAGTCGAGCCTGAAGAAGGTAGAGAAGGATTGCGTTTCATATCCAGAATTCGTTGATATCTGCGCGAAAGCATGCGCAAGCGTCGATGATGGAGTGAGATTCGCTAAAATGCTCGATCAATCGGGGAGTGTGATTGTTTTCGGGAACACTGTGTTCCTCAAGCCTGAAAAGGTGCGTTACAGTTTCTTCCATCTTCTGCAATTTCGATTCGATTTGATGCATTGATTAGCGATGTGCAGTTGAATTATCCTTTGGTGAACCTTGAATTCGTTATCTACATATTAGGCATGGCGTTTATCACTCGATTTTCCCCAATTTCTCTTAACTAGACATTTGAAAACCGAATAGCTTTTTCCTCTTCATGTGCATCTCTGCTTCCGTAGCACAACGAAACCATAACCGTGTTTAGCCATCAGATCTGAAAAACCAGATAATTTTCCATCGAATCTCTGATCAATGCTTATTATTATCCTCTCTCAACAAACGATTTACACAATAACGTACTTCAAATCAGATATTGGCACAATGAGCTCTGATTTCTAACCACTTGTTGTGTTCTGTTTCTACTCATGGTGTTGATGATCGATAATTCGATATTAACATGTGTTGTGCATCTACAACAAATGCAGATAGTGAAAGCTATCCAAGGCCTAATCCCCGGGGCGGCGGCGCCACCATTGCTGACGACTGGGGAAGATTCTAGAAGAAAAGAGCTGCAGAAAATGGAAGAGCAGAAAGCAGGGATAGACAGGCGCGCAAGGCAGGCGGTGCGGAGGGAGCTCTGGGGAGGATTGGGGTTCCTGGTGGTGCAGACGGTGGCGTTCATGAGGCTGACATTTTGGGAGCTCTCGTGGGATGTAATGGAGCCGATCTGCTTCTACGTGACGTCCATGTACTTCATGGCAGGGTATGCGTTCTTCCTGAGGACATCAAAGGAACCTTCATTTGAGGGATTCTTCCATAGCAGGTTCAGTGCCAAGCAGAGAAGGCTTATGCAGGCCTGCAATTTTGATGCTCACAGGTATGACATGTTGAAGAAGATGGTCTTGTGATTAGTACTAATTAGTTAGTCGGGGATTTTTATTTCTTTAGGTGTTTAAAATAAAATGAGAAAAAAAAAAATTAGAATTGAAGAAAATTGCAATGGAATGAAGAGTGACGAAGAGTTGTTCTAATTACAATTTTTTTGTTTGTTTGATTTTTATTTTTTAAAAAATTCTCGGATGAATAGGTTGTTGTTAGGGTGAGCGTGTGAATATTTGCGGCTCGTGTAAACATTATATTGCTTACAACAAATGAAATATTTATGTTTTAATACTACACAAACTTTTAAAATATTGTATATTTATTATTTGATTCGATTCATTTAAAGTTCCAGCACCTTACCATTTAATCAAAATAAAAAATATATATATATTAATTCAATATTTTATATTTGAATATACTCCCTGGTCATTCCATTTCAAATGGCCTTTGAGATTTTACAGTAAATTAAAAAATTATTGGTTAGTATATAAAAAATTTTGATATTTTTTTGTTTGAGTTTTATATATAAAATAATTATACATAAATATTTGAAAATTAATGTATAATTATTTTTTCTAAAATAATAATTGAAAAAAATGATAAAAATGATTATTTGAGGAAGGGAGTATTAAATTCAACATATTCAAGTAAATAACATTTTAAAAACTTCCTCTATTTTTTGAGAGGTTGTTTTAAATTTGTATATATACAATGTAATAAATTTCTATTTAAAAATATTATTTATTCTTAATCAAAATTCAAATTCAAATTTCAGAACCAAACTCGAAGAGAAGCCTGCGATTCCCAAACAAACAAAGTCCAAAAATTTTAATCACATCCTAATCTCATGTATCAACCACCGCTTTGACTTACATTCTAACTATTTTAATTCTATTATTATTACTTTTACAAAAATAAAATTAAATTAATTTTCTCTATTAATACTTTTTTTTTGTTATCATTCTAAATTTTTTAAAATATATAAAAATTAAAATGTAATGTCAGAATTAATTAAAAAAACAATCAAATTATGTCATTTGAAATTTTATGGCAAAAATAAAAGTTGCAAAAATATTGGACAAGGGTATTACTAATTTACTATCTTCTTCTACACGCTAATTTTATATTGTATTGACATATTTTTATTCAAGGAAAAAAACACTGTGCTGTATTTTTTATTGTATTTTCAAAACAAGAGTTTGTTCGGATTGAACTTTTGTAAGTTGGAGTTTATAAAATAGCAATTTAATATAATATTTTGTACAATAATAATAATAATAATAATAATAATAATAATAATATTTTTATTCAAATTTTGTATGAAAGAATATATTGAAAATAATGTAAACATAAAACAAATACAAGCCATCATTTTTTACAGCATGTGTTAAAATTTATTAGATTTTTACTTTTTACTTTTTAAATTTTAAATAATATTAAAAACTTTTTAATGTATATCTAAAGTAGTGTATATCATTTTTATTCCAATCTAAAATTTTGGTGTTTTAAATAATTGTCTAGAGGACCAAAAAATCAAACACTTTTTAATAGATATATACATTAATAATTAGGTGGAATAGAGAGCCAAATTCTCAACAATTTTAATTTATGAGATATATTTACTCTGTTATTTATTATTTGGTCGGTCTCTTGTAAAACGTGATATGCAATTAATTTTTTAAAATTTATTATTTGAATAGAAGGATACCAAAATTGAATTTTGTCATTTTTGGAGGACCAGTGAATAACCAAGGAAGGTCTGACTTAAGGTGAGGTTTTCTGTGTATTAATTAATTATATATATATATAAGTTCATTACTGGGTGTCAGGGTTTAGTTAATTACCCACGTGGCCTATATATACACGCATGTACACCACTTGGTTGTAATGACCATTGGCCTGTCTTATTGTCTTATACACACGTGTTCTGTATATATAAAATATTATTTTATATTAGAAATAATTTTCAAATTGTTAATCGAAGCTAATAACGAAATTTAAATAAATCTCTATCATTTCTAAAATTTAAATATGCTCTTGACATCTTCTTCTTCAAGCAAATAATAGGTTGGAACCGTATGAAAATGGTATTGTCAAATCGTGAAATTCTTAAAAAAATATTGTCATATTGCCAAACTCTGAAATTTTAGGATAATGTTGTCAAACTCAAACTCTGGCTTATGGTATATTATAACTTTGTAAAATAGACAACATATATTCTAAAAACATATAGACAACATATATTCTAAAAACATATAATATAATTTTATTTAAGATAATATATTATTGATTTCAACATATGTCAGAAGCAAATCAAATCAGCACCCTAAACAACATAATAACCAACGCCATATACTCACATTATTTTTATATTTATAAGATATTTTTATATGAATGTAGAAATATTATTGTCATTTTAAAATTCACAAAGATAATGAAGATTGTACATCAAATTAACTATAATTACTTATTGCCTAAATGTCAATCTTTAATTTTCATACTTTCTCCGTCCCATTAAAAGGTTGTCACTTTCTATTTTCATATGTCCCAAAACAAGATTATTATTTCCTAATCTAGTAATTGTACTACCTGCTTGAACATAATAAATATCCTTCCAACTTACAGTATATTATACAAATGTCATTATTTTTATATTACACAATACTAATAGAAGTATTTTCGTCTTTTTCACTACAACCCATTATAATACTAATATTCAAATATCTACGTGCAAAAAGTAAATGACAACCTTGCCCCTGGACGAAAAGGAGTACAAAATATTAATATTAAACCATTATATATTATAATATCCCATATGTACAATAGTTGGCAAACTTATCATAGTCTAGGTCTGGTCAGATCTTATAGTTGTTTTATGATTCAATTATTTCTTGCAAATAGTTCAATGTATTATATATATATATATATATGAACTTAATTTGTAATTTAATTATATGTGATTTAAATTATGAAGTGGATATAGCTACAACCTTTGGCATGTGATGAGATGCAATGTACACGTACACAGATAGATATTATTAATAAATATTACAATTCATGTAACATGCCAACCATTTTATTTATTTAATTATTTGATTATTCACACATATATAGTTGGCTAATTATGATAAGAATGCCACCCCTTTATTTGCACCAATAAATTGAAATAGTCAGACTATTTGTGGGTTACAAACTGTACAATTAATTACTCTTCAATTTAATGAGATATTGCATTATAATTCTGAAAAAAAATATATATATATATATGAAGAATAATTTAAAGAAGTGTTGTTAAATTAATAATCTAAAAGGATAACATTATTTATAATTTAAATCCAGTTAATAATTTAAAAATATATGTTGGACACTGAAAAAAAAAAAAAAAAAGAAAAGCCCAGAGCAATTATACAGAAGCTATTGGGCCAAAACCCAAATTTAATGAAATTAAGTAATGAGTATATTTTATAGATACTGATATATTTTATATTATTTATTTTTAAAAATTTTATTAAAAATTTAATTTATATTTAAAATATTGAATTAAAAACATGTTTCCTGTTTATCATATTCAATGAATATATTTCTTATCTTTTTTACTGTTAACAAATATCAAAATACAGTTAAACAAATTTCAAATATTTTAATATTTTGACATAATATATATATTCTCATCATTCCGTATAAATAGTTCATATTTTATATTTCAATTCATTCTGCATTTTATAATTTTCGTAATTTTAATTAAATTAATTAGTTATTTTAATCTTAATTTATAATTATTTTTTATTATAAATAACTATTTTTACTAATACATTCTTAATTATTTACTATTATACCTTATTTAGTTTCTAGTGTCTACATTAAAGAGAAGGCGGTAGCGGGACGAAGGAATATTTAATTAGCTTTATTTTCGGATTTTATATTTACATAATAATGTATTTATATATTGTTAGAAATATATTCTTTTGTTTACTTTTGCTTTAAGATATAAATTAATTTTGAGCTTAATAAATTGGACATAATCTAAATCCAATAAGCTTATTTTTATACAATGGAGGAAATACTTTTTATCATAAAATAGGTAAAATTGCTTATAACTCCCATGTAGTTTCAAAATTCAGCGTAAAATCTTCATGTACTTTAAAGATTGCATGGTATCCCCTTATACTTTAAAAAACGTTGCATGAAACCCCACCACCATGAAACTTTCCTCGTGTGATAAGAAGATGATTTCCTATCTATATGTTTTGCATGGCATGGGGTTTTATGTAATATTTTTTAAAGTATAAGTGAGTGTCATGCAATTTTTTAAAGTAAAATAGGGATTAATGTTAAGTTTCGAAACCACAAAGTAGTTTCATGCAACATTTTTTAAAGTATAAGGGGATGTCATGCAATTTTTAAAGTAGAAGAAGAATTTACGTTGAGTTTCAAAACCGCAAGGAAGTTATAGACAATTTTGTCCATAAAATATTATATAAAAATATTAATAAAATCAGAATGTCAATTAAAAAAGAAAATAAACACAAATAAAGTCAAACTAAATATAAACCCCGAACAACTCCTTAAAACTTAATAATTTTAAATGAGTAATGATGATAAACAAAAATATTAATTAATCATAACAACCACAATTATAATTATACCATAAATTATTGAAATTTACAGCTAAGTAAACATGCAGAAGCATGATACATCATACACATACATATATATATATATATGATATATGTATATGATTGGTTCCCTCGAAACTCACAAACAACCAAAATTAAAGAACAACACGAGTACTTGTCTGTAGTACAGACAAGGGACCTCAAGTATCCTTAACCTTTTCCGTACACTTTCCGGCGCCGACGCCGGCGTCGTTCCTTTTCCGGAGGTAAATTTTGACGTAGAAATTCACGAACAGATAGAGAATTGCCACATTGAGAAAGGAATTGAAAATCCACGCGCCGATTCCATTGCAGCCGCCGCCCTTGATAAAGTGCAGCGGCAGAACTCCGACGTGGCACACCACGTTACAGCTCAGCAGTATGATCTGGCAGTTCACGACGACCGGAAAACTCGCCCCCGGCAGCCCCGCCGCGGTCCAGAACCGGTATCCGTACGCGACGGCGCAGACCAGCGTCGCCGTCAGGATGTCGACCACCTGGAACGACTGAGAGAATTCGAGCCAGAGGAACGCCGTGAAGATGACGGCGGAGTGGCTGAGAAGGCTGCCGGACGACAGCCGCCGCCGGCGGAGGATTCCGATGAACGGCCGGAGCGCGTGGATGAAACGCGACAGGTAGTACACGTACGACCAGAAGAACACGCGCCCCGAGGGGCGTGTGCCGACCGGGAAGCAGAGGAGCCACTCGAACGCGGTGGTGCGCCACCGCCGCCACAGCCACCGCGTCTCGCGGATCTCCGCCGCGGCCGAGAGGACGGTGCCGAGGAAGATCGTGAAGGAGAGCGCCGCCATGCAGAGGGAGTAGGCGGCGGGGATCGGGCAGAGTGGGATTCCGGTGCGGCGGCGCGTGGGGGAGACGAGGCGGAGGAGGTGGTGGAGGGCGACGGCGGAGAAAATGTAGGCGGCGAGGGAGGTGAATAGGAAGGACCACGTGGATCCCCACGTGCCGGCGTGGCTCCACCGGAATCCGACGACGGAAGGGTGGTCCGCCAGGTAGTACCTCAAGGTGTGAAACGGCGCCGCCATTCTACGACGGAGGACGGCGGCCGGAGTTTCGAAACGGTACTTTTCCGACAACTCTGTGTCCGAAAGATTCCTTTGCCGATCGAAATTGTGGAATTGGAGAAGGCGGCGGAAACGGATAATATTCGCCGCACAAAATTGAACGGACGATACTCATACACTCTACTGATATTTATATTCGATTTTTAATTTTGGGAGGAAAGTTAAATCACGATTGATTTTGTTAACATCTTGTGACACTTTTGTTTGCAATGTAAATTTAAATTTTGTAATACACATATACTAATATAAATAGTTTTTTTTTATTATTACATTCTATAAATTTATATTCACTTTTCTTGTTGAGTTGTTCTCAAAAAATATTTTTAAAAAAATTAAAAATTATTACATTTTTATATTTTTTTAACTGTAAAAATAAAAAATTATTATTATTACTTACTTTTATTATGAAGTATTATTTTTTAATTGTACCTCAATAATTTACATTTTAAGTTTTAGAATGAAATTAAAGGGTTTGGTAGGCTTTTTAAATTGATTTTAAATGGAATATTGATTTGAATTTATATTTAAATAATAATTTGATATAATATTTTGTAAGAAAAAAATATTATACTCTTCCCTCCCAGAAAATATGGGACTATTACTGTAGATACGTGAATTTAGGTAAAGTATAATTAGTAAATAATTAAGAAGTGTATTAGTAAAAATAATTATAGATTAAGATTAACATAAATAAATAATTTAATTAAAATTAATAAAATTATAAAATTTAAAATGCGATTAAAAGTGCATAATTATATTGGAAATATAAATGACAAGTTATGTGGGACGGACGAAAATAGAAAATAGAAACAAATTATAGGGGATAGAATGAGTATTATTTTATTGAACACTATATGGTAACAATAAATTGAATTAATTTAAATTTGAAATCACAACAAAACAAATCCAAAGTTATTTTTTATTTATTTATTTATCTTTTATGATGTGGGAACCCTGGCCGCTATCCAAAAGTGTTGAGTAAATTTCCGATCGAATTTAATACTCTGCTAGCTAGGAAGATAAACAAATCACATTGTGAACAAACCCAAAAGTTATTATTTGATCATTTGGTCATGAGACTAATTTTTGGAAAGAAGTATATAAGGGTGTATTTTTTTTATTGAATTGAAAATAAAAAATAAAATTAAGTTTGACATTAAAATAATATTTTGATAAAAGAGGCAAATTAGTTGAAGCAAATGGAGTACTAATTTATCATAATTGGCTTATAAAAGTCAAATATAAATTACTAATTGTTGGAGAGAGTAGTATTTATTTTTTTTCTTAAAATTAAAGATTTCTTTTTGTTATTTTTAAATTTTTAAAAACTCCAACGATCTTTATTTTGTTTGAGGGATTTTGTGGGATTTTTACTATTCTCATAAAAAAAAAAATTAAAATTATCAAATTAAATATTTATTTTTTATTTTTTATATTATACTAAAAAATAATTTTACATTCAAAATATCACATTAATTTTTATTTAAATTACATTATACAACTATTTAAATTTAAAATTTTTAGTATTCAAATTTCAATTCAAAATTCAAACCCTCGAGTAAACACACCAACCAAACAGACTTGTCTTGTTACAATAATTTGGTGTGACAGTAACTCTAAGTAATAGTCACATCTGACACGACTTAGCGTTGAAATGCTAAAGCTAATTATTGTATAGCCTCGTATCTCGTAGCCATATTTATGACATTAACCTAGTATTTTTTGTCCATGTTGTACCGATATTTAAATAAAATATAATTAATAAATAATTAAAAATTATATTATAATAAAAATAATTAAAAATTAAAAATTAAAATTACTTAACAATTTAATTAAGATATAAATTTTAAATTATGATTAAAATATATAATCATATATTTTTAAAAAATGACAAATTACGTAAGACGGACCAAAATAAAAAAGTATGGACATTTTATGTGAGGACGAAGGGGTACTTTTTAATATGCATATATATATATATACTATCTCCGTCTCTTCTAACGTTTATATATTTCTACTTTCATTCCTCCAATTCAAATATTTATATATATTTTAAATAACTATGAACTTTACCAATAGCTGCTAAATTTTTTTTAATGAGTACTTATTTACTATTTTACTCTAATTTTATTATACATTTATATTTAAAGGTAATGACAATTTGATATTTACATTATTATATCTATCCACTAGAATTCGCGTGTAAAAAATTAATGTAAATTTTAGAGCTGGACAGATAAAGTACTTTTAACGTTGAAATTCGCAATCGTTACATAATGGATTATAAATTAGGCTCGACTAGTCAAATCAAACTAAACGAACTATATGTGACAGCAAAAACTCTATAATTTTATGGTTACAAATTTACCCCACACCACTAAATCATCTTTATGAGAGTAATGTCTAAATCTTTTTGGTATCATAACATGTAAACCATGTCAATGTGTACTATTATACTCTTTACGCCCACCAAATATGTGCTAATTTTCTTCCACCAAATAAGTGCTAAATATCTTTGTGAAATATAAAAAAAAATGGACACATTTTTTTGTGCACGAAAAAAAAAATTGGGTAAACAAATGAACTTGAATCATAAATTACTAGCGTAATTATCCGTGCTACGTACGGTGCAATTAATAAAAATTATAATATAATTTAAAATATAATTGAAAATTAAAAAGAAAAATTAATCAACAATCAACGAAAATTTGCAAAATTTTATTTATAAAATAAATAACAATTAAAATATTTGTAAAATTTAATAAAAAAATAAAACAAAATAATCAATTTTTAATTAATTTACAGAACATGTGACAATTGAAATATTTATAAAATATACTAAAATAAAATCATATAAAATTATAAGAAAAAATAAAAGTAAAAAAATAAAAACAAATACTCATAAAAATTGATATTTTCTATAAAAAAAAATTAAACATAAAAAAATCAAAAGCAATATAATAAAAAATATTTTATAAACTTAAAACTAAAATAAAAAAATATACACATAATTGTTCTATGTCTAAAAATGGTAAAATATTATAACAATACCATCCGAAAAATCATACATATTTCATGTTTACATCTTCATTTGTACAAAAAAAAAAAAAATATTTTCATCTTCATCTTTACCAAAAATAAAATAAGTATTGGTAGTTTGAAAAAAAATTAGAACATTAATACAAAAAAAATACATACATATAATATTCTTATTATTTGGCAATTTTTTTGCATTTTGCATCTTTATTTGTACAAAAAAATAAAAATAAAATAAAAATGTATCAATATTGTTGTGAAAAAACTATTAGAAAATTAACACACAAAAAACAATGCACGTACACATAACATTCTTATTATTTGATGTTTGTTTGTCGTCTGCATTCTGTGCATTTTTTATTTTGTCAATTTTTTTTTCTTCGTCGTGTATACCTAAAAATTGTGAAAAAAAATTATTATAAAATTACCAAATATAGTATCAATATTTTAACAAAAATATTAGAACATTAACACTAACAAAATAATACACATAAATACTAAAATAAATACGTAAAAATATATATACAAATAAAAAATAATTCAAAAATAATTAATTAATATATATAATATTTCTAACTAACACAAAATATTATAATATTATAGAAAGTTATCAAGTAGTTAAGTATTTAAAATCAAAAATAAAATTTAATCTAATAATTTCTTTCATATTTATATATAGCTAACAACATTTATCCAAATATTATAATATAATTATAAATACAAAATCAAAATAAATATAAAAATTAAAAAAACTTATAAATTGAATGATTGAAACATCTTCCTACATTCAAATTATACTATCTCCCAAAACGTCAAAATAAATACAAAGTTATTAATTAACATAAATAGATAGAATAAATAAAAAATAAAAATAAAAAAATAGAATGAAAAATAAATTACAGTAGCAATGATTGTTCTATTAACATATCTCAACAAATAGATAAAATAAATAAATAAGGAAAAAAATAAAAAATAAAATGAAAGATAAATTACAGTTAATCGATTGTTCGATTAACATATTTCAACATTACGCCTGGGAAACGTTTTGCTTCTGCAAAATAATAGAAAAAAACAAAATTTAGTAAATAAAAAATAAATAAAATATGAACAATAAAAATTATCAAAATCCTTGAAAAAATCTGTAAAAAAATTAAGAATATAAATGTTAAAGCCAATGAATATAAAAAGGATCTACGCTTGCTCTTTTATATATATATATATATATATATATGAGATATGCTAAGAGCTAAAAGTAAAGGATTTGTTTAACCATATTTTAATAGATAAAAATTAAAGTGAATAATATAAAAATAAAATATAAATAGCATTCCAACGTGTCTCCCGCGCATAAAGACGAACGTCATCCACATCGCTAGTTTCTCTCTTACGTGGCTTCCATTGTAGCATTTTTGGGAGCTTAAAGGAATATAAAATGATCTTTGGATTGCTGCATAGAGCAACTCAATACCACCATTAATTTTTTTGTTTTGTATTTATTTATAATAATTTTATTTATTTTTTATTTTTTATATTATTGTATTATACTCCCCAGTTATATATAGTCTTAATTGAATTGAAAATGAAATTTAAAAAATATTGATATTATATTGATAGTTGGTAAAAATTATGAATTAAAGACTTTTTTGCCCTTGTAAGTATATTAGAGTAAAAATAGTGGCAATTATGTAATAAATTTATTTTCTACAAAATAATATATATTGATATATTTTTATTTAAATTTAATTTTAAAATAAATTATGTTGATATAAATATAAATATATATGTAATTTTTTGTTGAATTGGAAAAATAAACTGATGTAGAAGTGAAGAGAAACTTCTCCATGAATTTCTCTGATGGGAATGCTGATCATCTGTATTTGAGAAACTCTCCAAAAATTTCTTTTAATTTACGATTCATACTTTTTTTTTTTTTATTATTTTATATTTTTTCTTTCATTTTATTATAAAAAGTATATATTTTTTAAACTTATATCAAAATAATTAATAATATTATCAAATTTAATAAAATTATACCAATATATATTATTTTATAAAAAATAAAATTTTATATAATATAAAAAAATGTATATTAAAAATACTTAACTAAATAAATAATATTAAAAAAATAAGGAGTTGCTCTAGGTTGCCGTGCAGAGCAATCCAGAAGTAATTTTTATTCTTTTTTAATATACAAATAATGATGTGGCGATTGCAGAGGAAGGAAGCTACCGATGCAGATGTATATTTTAATTTTATTTTACTTTTTTAATTTATTATATACTTGTATTTAAAAGTAAAAATAATATAGTTTTTATACTATTATATTTATTTACTAATGTTAAAATATTAAACTTTAGTAATGTACAAATGAATTACTATAAAATCAAAATAAAACACATCTATCACTCCACTCCAGTCCACTGCAAGGGCCATTTATTGAAACCACCGTCCGATTCAGCAATGATAGAAGGCCATCTCCAACCCGTTATCTCCATTTATTCAGTTTTAACTTCAAATATGCAGTTGCTACAGTAATTTTATTTTTACCATAACTCAATTTTTTCATATTATTCTTCAAATATTCAATTTTTCCTATTATTTTAAACAACTTTTTTATTTTTATAATTTAAAATAAAATTTTAAAATTTTTTAAAAAATAAAAATTTAATTTAAAAATTAAATTTATAATTTTTTTTAAAAAAATGGTGTTTGCTTGAACTGTAGCAAATTCTAAATTTGGTGCTGAGAATGACGCTGGATTGGAGCAGCTCGGCGGCAAAAATGGTGTTGGAACGGCAGATATTAACTTGTAGCGGTGCTTCATGTGTGCTACAGGCCATAACTTGTGCCCACAAATATTAATTAGCTGTCTTAAAAGAGACAAAATATCGAGTCCCACTGTCTTTCTTGAAAATAATACTATTTATTTTTATTTTTATTAAAAAATAGAAATAATTTTAAAATCTGATATTTAAATATAATTGTATTTATTTTTTAATTTATATATTATATTGAAATATAAAATTTAATTATAAATTGATAGTTTCAAATATAATTCATAAAATTCTAAAATAAATTATAGATTATTTAAAGTTAATTATTATAACTATTATTTTACTTATATAATTTATAAATAGAATTATAATTATAATATATGTATATCAATAAATATATATTTTTTATTTGACTTGGTAATTCAAAATTTCAAAATATAATTTATAAAATTTTAAAACAAATTTAACAAGTCTAATAAAAAAATAATACATTTTATTAATATGTCTTATTTGATAATATTAATAATTTAAATTAATTTCAACTTTATTAATCTATAAAAAATTGTTTTTATAAAGATATATTAAATATAAAATCAAATTACTTCTATTTTTACTTTTACTAATTTTTAAAGTCAATATGAATCTTTATACTCTATCCGTCTCATTGAAATGTTGTTATTTTTTTATTTTGTCCGTTCCAAAATAAGGTTATGTTAGTAATTGTACTACTTACCTAACATGATAAATATCATTCTAACAGACACTGTATTAATGTCATTACTTTTATATTACATAGTACTAGTATGGGTATTTTTGTCTGTGTTACTACAATTTATTATAATATTAATATTAAAAAATCTAAGTACAAAAAGTAACGACAACTTTGCACCGAGACGGAGAGAGGATGTATATTTGGTCAATGTTTAGTATAGCTACGTAATATTAAGAATGATAGAACTACTAAAAATTCAAAATAATAATATTATTACACAAATAATTATAAATTAAAATTAAATAATTAAATAAATTATTATTGTTATTATTATTATTTTATTATGTGTGTGACTGACGAAGCACTAATTCTCACAACATCAAATTTAGAGCATGCACACAGTACAAGGCTTCATTGCCACCCTATCGCTCTACGTGTATATATCCACTCCAATTTAACTTATTTTTCATAACAAATTATTCCTTTCTAATATATAATCAAATTATATTACGATCTTACCAATATATTCAGTTTGTTAAGTTAGGATTTTTAGATGAATTAATTTTTTTTATATGATATAGAAAACTGTGTTAATAATATAAAAGATAATATTTTGTATTGAATATTTAACTTTTTACGAGTTGATGATATATATTATATTAATGTGTGTGCATTTATATATGTTGAAACGTGACTTGGATTTAGCGGTCTACCCGACCCTAAACCAAAGCGAAAGGACTGTTTCAATTGGCAGGGTTCCTTTTGGGCTTATCCTAATTAATAACAAATGGGCATAGGGTTTAGGGTATTTTGGGGTGCTTATAAATAGACAACTATAGTTCTTAGTCGGACGACACATTGTAAATCTCTGAATCAGTATAATAAAATCTCTTCGGTTCCTGCCCGTGGACGTAGGTTGACACACCGTCACCTAACCACAAGTAAAACCTCTGTGTTCTTTATTTGCTTTCTTTCTCGTTTTCTCATAACAAGTGGTATCAAAGCCTAGTTCGTTGATAGGGTGGATTGAGAGCAATCGGGCGTTGGATCGTTGTGGGAATCCCTTGTGACCTGCGGAGGTGCCTTGTGTCGAAAGTCTCCTGACGGTGTTGGGTCGGTCCCGGCTGGTAGGTCAGGCAGCGAGTCCCTTTGTGATAGGCGGTGCAAGGTTGGCAGGGAAGGATAAGGGTTTCGGCAAACGCAGCGGAGGAGATATCCGATGTGCTCTCATATCAAGTGAACCTTGGTTTGTTTGTGGGAGTCAAGATGGGTGATCGTCATGTTGTCAAGGTATTCGATGGTATGAACTTCGATTTTTGAAATATGCAGATAGAAGATTACATGTATGGTAAAGATCTAGATGCGGTATTGAAGGAGAAATTCGAAGACATGGATGAAGCCGAATACAAGAAGATCGACAGGAAGACGATGAGTGCGGTTCGACTAACCCTTTGGGAGAATGTCTCGACTAAATTTAGATTTGAGGCAAAAGGAAAGGGTGAAGATCAAGAATTGTCAAAGTTGAAGCCGAAGAATAAGGACAAAGAAGATGCAAGTCAGGTGGTATATTGGAACTGCAAGGGGCACTTGAAACGACAGTGCAGGGCGCCGGAGAAGGATCAGGGTTCAGCAAACGCAACGGAAGAGATATCCGATGCGCTGATTCTGAGCGTCAGCAGTCCAATGGAGTCATGGATTTTGGTCGAGCGTCATTCCACTCATGCAGTGATTCGAGAATCATGGAATCCTATACCACAGGTAATTTTGGTGTTGTCTATCTTGGAGATAATGAGACACTGAAAATTGTAGGTAAAGGAATGATTCGAATCAGAACACCGAATGGTGGGGAGTGGAGATTGGATGAGGTATGTTGAAGTGGAAGATGAAATCAGTCTTCAAGTGGGAGATTGTTGGGATATGAAACCTGATTATATCCTAAAATCTAGGGATATAATTTGGATATTATATTTTAGATTTTGGAGATATGATTTGGATATTATTGTCAAAGACTTAGCCTATAAATATCAATGTATTCTCACTTTAACATGTGCCTGCGTAGTTGATAGTAAAATTTCTGACTTGGCAGCGCCCCCAAACGTAGATCATCGTGATCGAACTGGGTTACCAAATCTTGTGTTCTTTTGTCTTTATTATCTCATCTTGATTTCCTGGAATTTCCGTAACAAGTCATTGACATGTATTCCGCCTCAGTCGTCGACAATGCAACCGTAGGTTGTAAAGTAGACTTCCAATTGACTGCACATCCAAACAGAGTGAAGATAAAAGAAGTTAGTAATCTTCGTTTCACCAAGTCGCCCCGTAATCAGAGTCTGCCAACAATATATTTTTTTAATAATATTTATAGAGAATTGTTTATTAAAAAATATTGAGAAAGAATTGTATAAATAATATAAAAATAATAATACGCTGAAAAAAGTAATAAAAAGAACAAATCCAATCCATTTATTACTCGCCAGACTAATGACTGCAATTCTATTGTTGGTAAAAAATACTTTCTTGTCTTTCAAATTTATTTATTTGTTTTTTTTTTTTTTGTCCAAATTTACTATATTATTATATTTGATAAAAATAAAAAAAATAATTATTTAGCTATTATTTTTTATTTAATATTTATTTATAACATATATTACTATTTTTATTATATTATAGATTTGTTTGTTTAGTAAAATTGTTGAAAAATATATATATTTTTTAATTGCGTCTAATGAATTAGTATATATGGACTTGGGCCTGGAGGTTTAAGTGGATGTTTTCCGTATAGATAGAGTTTTGGGCCCACAGAAAGGCCCATTGTTAAAATGGGCCACGACGACAGTTAAACAGAATGGACTGGAAATTTCTGGAAGCGTATGAAATCATCGGCGGTCGTTCTTAAGCGAAAGCGTTCATTTTCGCGTTGAAGTCGTCTGTTCGACGTGGAACTATAATTCTTCGGACGTTGGGCATCGTTTGGCAAACGGAGGTCTGCGCTTTGACGTTGATTTATAGGTTCGTATATTGTTGTTCTTTCCTCTTGTCTGCGACTTTTTTGATTTTTTTGGATTATGATTGTTGCGTTCGGTGTGCAATTGTTATCTTGTATTTACCTGACTTTTTAATAGAAGTAGTTTTTTACGAATTCCGATCCAATTATAAGTTGTTAGGGTGCGGGAGTGGATAATTTATAACGAGAATTGTAAAAATTTATTTCTATGTTGGAGATTGTGTGTTTCTTATCGAATTGTTGGAAAATAAGCATCGGAACGCTGGCTTGGATGCATCTCTTTAATATTGTCGGCGAGACTCTTCCAGAAAATCTGATCCGAGCACTAGCTCAAAATTTGATTGATTTTAGGGTTTTAAGGGATTAAGTTTCACTTGTTGTAATCTGAGTGTGTATCTACTATTTTGCTTCGTTCAATTATTCATTGTATGGAGATTACTGTCTGCGGTTTATTTGAATGAATTGCTTTACAAATTCCAATTGAGATGTTTTTTCATTTGGTGGTGTATGAAGCCAACTTGGAAAAAATCTGGGAATTATGTTTTATTTCTGTGAATTAGGAATCTCATTTCTTGTTGAGACATACGACCTTGAGTGCGCATGATCTATGGGTTTACCTGATTTTTTGTTTGGTTGTCATTCCTAATACATTTTTTGGTCCACATTTGAGCAGCAATTGGATTTGAAGTCTCTGAATAGATGGCAGAAGCTGATTATCCTAATACTAGAGCATCGGAAAGTTCATCATCCCCAAGGAACAATGGCAATGATGCTGTTGATTTTGAATGTAATATATGCTTTGATTTAGCTCAGGATCCTGTAATCACTCTCTGTGGGCATCTCTATTGCTGGCCTTGCCTCTACAGGTGGCTACGAGACCATTCTCAGTCCCACGAATGCCCGGTTTGCAAGGCCCTAGTTGAGGAGGAAAAGGTGATTCCTCTGTATGGCAGAGGGAAGACCCCTGTAGACCCAAGATCAAAACCTGTTCCCGGAAGTGAAATCCCAAATCGCCCTGCAGGACAGAGACCCGAGACAGCACAGCCCTCAGAAGACATTAACTTGGCCAATCTTGTTCTTGGACTCATGGGAGGGTTCATGCCAATTGCATCCGCTACTTTCAGCAATTTTGGAGTGTCTGCTAGTTTTGGTGGTGTGTTCCCTCCTTTGTTCGGTTTCCAGTATCATGGATTCTCAAATGCAGATGCATACACTGGACCATCAGGCCATCAGCATGGACATACACTGAATAGAGGAACTAGTCAAGCTACTGAGCCAGACGACGAGAATTTGAAGAAAATTCTTATAATCATCCTTCTTTTTGTCCTTTTTGCATTTTTAACAATGTGAATGATTTTCCTACACCACACTCTGTTCTTCCAATACACTGAAGAAGATTCTTATCTTGCACAGAATTGTGATCATTTGCAACTGTTACATTTATGTGTACTCTAAACAGTTTCAACTGTGTTGTTAACTTGGTTGCTCTGTGATATAGCTAATCCAGCTAATGTGTTATGTGCTCATCCGTTATTGTTTGTAGGCAGATTTTATTGGACTTCAACAGATATTCACATTGACAATTGGGCGTAGATATCTATCGAAGAAGAGAGTTCTGCAAACCAAAGGTCCTGCGCATCAATGATGATCTTCTGTGAGTGAACTTCTTTCTAATTGCCTTGCTTTTACAATGATACTTGCATTGCATGTCTAAATCATTTAATTTGCGGGCTTTGCTTTATGTCTATAATTTAATTACGGTGCCATGGTTTAGTTGAATTTGTGCACCCAGACTTGTTGAATCTAGCAAGGCATCCATGGAATGATATGCAAACTCATACATGTTCATTAGACTTCCATTCTATATGCATACTAAATATGAGTCTTGGTCTCCATTGTTGTCTTTCATTGTCAAATGTCATATACCAGGTCGTCGTCATCGATCATTCTTTTAATATTCAGTTAATTATCTTGCTCATTTTGTGTTCCCATTGAGCCCACCAAGAATTTATTGAAATTGTCCCTGGAAAGCAGTTTCTTGCACTCTAGTCAAACATAGCATTGTCAAAGACATCACACACACAACACAACTATCTACTGCACATTCGTTCCTGCCGACTAATTCTTGCAGCATAACTAATTGTAAATTCTAGTTTTAGTAAATTAGGATCTCTGTAAGTAATCATTCAGTCTTAATCTGTTATAGTGTGGCTTTCTTTATGGGTGGCCCTGAAATAATGGGGAAAGGATTATTTTCTCCAGTTTTCTTGTTAGAACAACAAGTATAAACTGAGCATGTGACACTGCACGTGCTTTTCATTATTGAAGAAATAATGGCTATAAACCAATCATGCATTCAATTGCCATTGTGCTGTGCTGTTGTGTAAGAGAGTTCATAATTAAATTTGCATGTTCCTTCAAGAACTGCCTGAATGCTTATTTATTTGCAAAATTTTAAATTTTGTACCCTGTTAGTTAGTTAGTTAGTTTCCAGTAGAAAAAACAGGTTTGCTTGTAATGATTGTGCATAAAAGCTTCAATATTTTGTTGGAATTGAATATAGTATGAATTATGTAATGATGTGTTGCCAATAGTAATTTGCCTGACATACATAACATGTTAAATGATTATTTTATCTTGAAATTTTTTAATTTCAGGAAAATATATTGTTAATTAGATATTGTACTATAATTTAGTCTTGCATCGAAAAAAAGGTATTAAAAAGTTGAGCAGAGTCTGAGTCTGAGTCTGATATCACATGGCTGAAAGGAAGAAGTCACTATGTAGAGATCATTTTCAGGAGGCAGGTTTCCTGTGCACTGGAGTGGGTCCCACAAATACACCACGTGGCCAATCATTGTTGAAGCGCTATTAATTTAATTTAAGTTGAATTCGCGTAGATTGTGGATCGAATAGACCTTAGTAGGCCCCGACTCGACTTTGCATTAAATTACGTTCTCAACCTCAAAGCGTTTAATTAATAAATATATTAATAAAAATAATGGATAAATTAAGTCAGACGGAAGTACTTAGACGTATCACCCCCACGAATTTTTTTTGTTAATAAATAATGTAAAAATATCATTCAAACTTATTCTATAAATATTTATCAATAATAATAATATTGATGCCTTGATTTATTGGAATTATTTCACCGACTTGTGCTTTGTCTATTTTTGGTCTTCTTTGTGCTCATAATAATTTCAACTTATTACTAATTCCTATACAAATACTCAATGAGTTGAATCATTCTTGAAATTCGTTAGTTTTTTTTTTTTTTTTGGGAATTTTTTGAATAGGGTTTAAGTAAATTTTTTTTCTCATGTTATAAATTAATTAGTTTATACAAGTTTTGTTTCATTTTTTATTTTACATTCTTTTTTATTCACTCCAACTTCAATAATATTGTACATTATTTTTACGGGTTTTGTCTCATTTGTAATTTACAGTGTTTAATGAGAAGTACCTACAGGGAAAATTATATATATATATTAAGATTTACTAGTGTGCTCACACGTGCATTTGTACGATTTGTGTAAATTAATAAATTTTATTATATGATAATTTTTTTTATTCTACATATGAAAGAAGTATTGATAGTATAAATTTACAAACATGTTGAGTGAAAATTTGAATGTACTTTTGTGCTATTAATACTTAATTTACTATATAAGTTTGCACCATGTGTTTCTTTATAATTTCAATCTTGCTTTGCCAAAATATTAAAAATAGTCCCTTTTAATAGTTGTGTAATTATTAATTCAAAATATCAAACTCGGCATTAATTTTCATTTAAAGAGAGATCTAGAGAGAGAGAGAGATTCAAATATAAAACCCACCCAAATATGCCAAAAAGTTCATCTATGCAAGCAAATATTTTCTGGCGTGTTCCTTCAAATTTTAAATTTGAAGTATCTAATGTGATATAAAAAGTGGTTTGACGTGATATTTTAAATAATAATTATTCTTATATTAAATAATAAAAAATATATTTGATTTGATAATTTTAAATAATAGCGTTAAAAAGAAAATTTAATTTTCAATGTATATATTTGTCAAAAAAAATATAAATAAAAATACTTACTCAATGTTTTCAAACTCGAATTTCACACTATTTATAAAAAAAAATAAAGATTAAATTGATCATATTTAATACTTATTTCATTTAAAATCTTACATAATTTTTTTTTATCTACATTCAATATATATCACATCCAACATTTACACTAGATCTGTTTACATTATTTTGTATTATTACATTTCAAAATTTATAATATGAATATCCAATCTTACACATCATTGTCAACACCTACACTTTGCATCGAAAATTAATTTTTTTTTATATATTATATCAAATATAACAATATTTATCTATATCACATCAAAATTTTATTTTAAATTAACTTTTACTATTTCCAAATCAACTCAAACTCCAAAACATTTTCAAAATATATAGAAAGGTACATCTATTTTCTATTTAATACTTCCTATGTTTAGAAAGAGATGATGCTTTTGGTTAGTAACTTAATGAAATTTAATCAGTTAAAGATTACATATTATTAATAAAAATATTATTTATTAATTTATAATTAACATAAACTAATTTTATAAATAATAAAGAGAATTAAATGTAGATAAAAATATTCTTTCATTGAGAAGATATATATATATATATATAAAGAAATTTTGAGTATGTATGTAAGATGTTATAAATTTAATTAAATTAATTTATATTTGTTAAATATGTTTAAAATTGATAAATTTATTAAATATAAAACTATTTTGAAATACATTAAAATAGAAAACGTATGAAATATTATAGGTAGCAAGTATATTACTATTAGCAGACAAACCAAAAATTTCAAAACACTCACAGAATATATTGAGAAGTTAAAAAATGTTTGGAATAATTAAGCTTCAAAGGTACAATAGATAGTTAGTTGGGATATGGTCTGCAATTCTGTTGCAAAGTCATTGTTTTTTGTTACCAAAGGAACACAACTACTACTTCATTTTTATTTATTTATTTATTTATTTTTTAACATATATATCATGTGACCTAATTTATTGATAAATTCCATTAAACCCTAATTTGAACTTTGCAGATGCATTTCATATATATGTTCTCTTAGCTTATTTGGGAAGTTAATGAAAAATAAATTAATAAATTCGATAAGATCTATATATATGGTAAGATCAAGATATATATATATATATATATATCATTGTGTGTACATTTTAAGATTGAATATACAATTGGATTAATTAATGATTTGACAACAACATTTCTTGGAGAATTTATTTTGTACTTAAGTAATAATCAAACATTATACATGATTTGTACACTTAATTACCTGTCATCATCATGGTTAATTATTTTTCGCCTCTTGTAAGTTATATATATATATATATATATATATACATATAAAGTTGATTAGTTTTATTTACTACATTTTGAATAGAAAATTCGACATATAAATTTATTTATTTATTTTTTTATATATAAAATTAGATTTTTTTTGGCCGTACATGATAATCACCTAATTTATTTTTTATTATTATTTTTTAAGGTTTAATTTTCCTTCTATTTTACGTGATGGCCACAATCTTAATAAAGGTGTGATTAACAATTTGCAGAAATGGTTCACATCAATTCAATTAACGAAATGTCTTGATTACATTAAAATGAAATTAAAAATAAAATAAAATAAAGAGAGCCAAACACTACTACTATAATAAAGGAGAACTAAAAGCTTTTAGAAGAAATGAATCTTGGAAGCTACCGGGATGCAAACTCCAGATCAATCTGGACCACACATTCTACCCTATCAACGGTGTAGATTTGGTTACAACAGTGATCCTGTGAATAAGAAGACGAGCAAATCTAAGACGTGGATGGCTCAACTTATATCCACTGTTGAAGATATATAAGTCTATTTTCACTATTAATATACCCTTTTAGTCCAAATATGCATTTTTCATAAGCCATGATTCTCTTATTTCTTGATTCCATTTGAATTTACGAAAACCCTTTTCTTGAATTTGCAGAAAAAAAGTGTCAATTTTGAGAAATCAGTGTTCTTTAATTTTTAGGGTTTTCTTGATTGAGCTATGCAAGTGTCAAGATTTGAGCTTCTTTTAGTTTCAACAATGGCGGCCATCGTCTTCTCCGTCGACGGGATTCATCAGTTCAGAGAAGCCCCGAAGTTTTACAATTCTCCGGCGTGCAGCGCGGCGGCGGTACACGTGGCGATGACTCTGGACGACGCGTATCTCCGGGGATCAATGGCGGCTATACTGTCGGTCCTCCAGCACGCAACGTGCCCGGAGAATATCGTCTTCCATTTCGTGGCGTCGTCGACGGCGGACGCGGCGGAGCTCCGCCGCACGATTGGGCGGTCTTTTCCTTACCTGCGGTTCAGGATGTATCCGTTCGACGTTTCGGCGGCGGCGGGGCTGATTTCGACGTCGATCAGGGCGGCGCTGGATTGCCCTCTGAATTACGCCCGGAATTACCTGGCGGAGCTCCTCCCCGCCGGCGTACGGAAAATCGTGTACCTCGATTCCGACGTGGTCCTCGTCGACGACATCGCGAAGCTCGCGGCGACGCCTCTTTCCGGCGGGGCCGTCCTGGCGGCGCCGGAGTACTGCAACGCGAATTTCACGTCCTACTTCACGCCGACGTTCTGGTCGAATCCGTCGCTGTCGGCGACGTTCTCCGGCCGGCGGGCGTGCTATTTCAACACCGGCGTGATGGTGATCGACCTGGAGCGATGGCGCGCCGGCGACTGCACGAAGAAGATCGTGGAGTGGATGGAGCTCCAGAAGAGGATGAGGATTTACGAGCTGGGATCGCTGCCGCCATTTCTGCTGGTGTTCGCCGGCCGAATAGCTCCGGTGGATCACCGGTGGAACCAGCACGGCCTCGGCGGCGATAATTTCCGGGGACTTTGCCGGAATTTGCATCCCGGTCCGGTCAGCCTGCTGCATTGGAGCGGAAAGGGTAAACCGTGGACCCGGCTCGACGCGAACCGGCCCTGCCCGCTCGACGCTTTATGGGCTCCTTATGATTTGCTCAAACCGCCCTACATTCTTGAATCTTAAGGTAATTAATTAATTAGTTACAAAAAATACTACCATATTTATATATTATTATATTAAATTAAATTAAATTAAATGTTTTATGTTTGTCAGGGCAGAAAGGATTAAAGAATTAATGGAGATGCTAAACAGTAGGCTCAGAATTAGAGTACAAGTAAGAATGTTATAATTGTCTGTATATTACACTACTCACATATATATATATATATGATATGGACAAAAAAATTTACAATTTCTTACTCAAGATTAATGAATCATATTTACATATAGTTTTGGGATATATATATATTTATATATAATCATGATAATTGTTATAGACAATGTACACTACAGATACAATTGTTGTTGTTATTACCATATAAAGCAAAGGTTTAAGGCTGCTGTTTTAATTTATATTGGTATTTAATTGAGGTTTGCGAAGAGTAGTTTATATCCACCGTTGGATCTGTGGTCCGAGGCCGATCAGTACCGTTGCTTTTGATTTTGAGATAAATTTTTATAATATAGTAGTACTATTATTTCATTGTGCTGTGTAATATTATGTGTGAATTTATTAGTTGAATAGAGTTTAGTAATTGCCAAGTTATTTATTTATTTATTTTTATGATGCGGTAAACTCCAGCGAAACCTAATATCCTGCAAATTAAGTTCAACAAACAAATCACACTAGGTAAATAATGTGTGACTGACGTATAAAAATTTAATAATAATAATAATAATAATAATAATAATGAAGAAGGAGAGTGTCGGTGAGTGAGACAGTGTATCATTATCAATCGCCACATGGGTCAGCAAGAATTTGGGGCTGTGGAAAGAGATTGCCTAATCGGCAACAGTTGTTCGTCCTAAAATTATAATTTCAGTTTAAATACTATTTCTTTTTTTTTTTTTAGTAAAAATAAAAAATAATATTCTTTACAAAAAATTAATAAAATTAAATATTCAATTCAAAATAATATATTTTATAATTTTTACATAATTTACTATGCCACAAACTAAAAATATTGAGTGAATAAAGCCATTTATAACTTTTGGAAATTTTAAAATGTTATAAATAACAAAAAAAATTAAATACTATTCAATATGTAAATTCGAAGAATAAAATGTATTTAATATAATATCTTTTTATTTGTAAATAATGGCATTAAAAGTATATATATAACATAGCTACAAGCTCACTTTATATATTTTAAAACTATTTTTTTTACAATGTTCACTAATAAATATTTTAAAAGTTATATCAAAACAAATAGTATTAATTCAAATCATATATAAGAATTGTTATATATATAAAATATCATATCCCAACAACTTATATGAATGGATGGATTTGATGGATCCATTCTAATATTGCTATTATTTTTACTTCACTATTGAGTCTTAAATTCATTTCAAAACTCCTCAGGAACAGAAGTATAAATTTATTGGGTTTTAATAAATTTCAATTTTGGGTATTGGTATATATATGAAAGAATAATACTAATAACAATGAAATGGGCCTTCTTCATTTGGGCTCAAAAAAATAAGCTTCCCAATCCTGTAAAAATTAAATAAACCAGACTCATGCTACAAAAACTACAAATAAAATTAAGAAAAGTGTTACCTAAAGTACATATAAAAAAATTAAAATACAAAAAATGATGCATTACAATGCAATAGACTATACAAATCAAGTGTTCATCTTCTTCTATGTTTCTTGGATGATTTTCTTTTCTCCATTCCAAGATACTTACTCATGTCTTCTTCGCCATCGCCGCCGTCGTCTTCCCCTCCCCTTCTTCTCTTCTTACCGGAACTTTCTTTCACTTTCTACATAAATACAGCGCGACAACGATGTTAGACTCACTTCGGGGAAAACTCCCGATACAATTTAGTAAAACAAATGAACTCATGTAGTTTCGACGAATCCATACCATTTGCGCTATTCTTTTCGCTTCCGCCACTCTTTCCAATAGCAACAACACTTCTTCCTCCCGGGTTTGGTATTCGGGCAATTTCTTACCTGTTTTCGATAATATGTGAGATTGATTGAAGAATTTCACGATATTATTTCAAATATTTTTGGTGTATACTTACCTATAAGCTTCTCTATTTGTAAATACCACTCCAACTCGTACTGATTCACAATTGATATTGCGACCCCAGACCGCCCTGCTCGAGCAGTTCTTCCAACCCGATGTACGTAGTCCTGTAAGTGTTACGTGCAAGAATGTAAATCAAGGTCAAGAAACTGCCGGGGTATGTTATAATCGACGAACCAATGTATTTGTCGTAAATGTGTGGTAAAATTAGGAACGATGGTTCATCAAAAATCTGGGAAAGGCGAAGATTGTTGACCTTCGAGTTCATTGGAATGTCGTAGTTGATAACCATGTCTACCATGGGAATGTCGAGTCCTCTGCTGGCAACATCAGTGCAGATAAGAATGTTACATTCACCAGCTTTGAACTTGTTCAAAGCTCCAAGCCTTTTCGTCTGTAATAAAAAGAGCACGAGCTTTATAGAACATGGGGGTAGGTATGTAATGAGATGACGAAAACAAATGTGCTCACAGAAGGGTACCTGAGTCATATGGCCATTAATTGGGATCGCTCTAAATCCAAGATTCCGAAGCATATGAGCCAAAAGAGCTGTTGCATCACATGTACGAGTGAAAACCATAGATGTACTTCCCGACATTTCGGTCAATATATATACAAGATAACAATCCTGAAGCAGAAAAAGGGGGAAATAATGGTATCGATGTCAAGAGAAATCAGAAATCACATAGGAAATAAATCAGGAAAAACTATGGACCTTGTACTTTGCAGGAACAAAGCAGTATTGTTGCTTCAGCGTATCAACGGTAGAATACTTGGAAGCAGCTTCAATCTATAGTCGATTTTAATATAAATAAGAAATTTATTTTGTAGAGAATGTTTTGTTGAAAACTAATGGGAAACAATTGCACAGCTACCTTAACAGGGTTTTTGAGACAAGCTCTTTGAAGCTTTTTCACCTGTCACAAATGGCAACCACAGATTAGGAAAACATTCGAGCGAAAATATATATAGATTGATTGATTAACGTAAAAAACTCGATTGCCTTACCTTTTTAGTCATAGTTGCAGAATATAAATATGTTCTTCTATCACGAGGAATAACATTCAGGATTTCATCAATTGCTTTTTCAAAATCATCATTCAGCAATCTATCAGCTTCATCAAGAACCTATAAACCACCCATAAAAGTAAGAAAAATTAATCATAATATGCACTGCAAGTGATTGATGCAACAAAATCATCAATATATAAATCATCAACATCAATCTTTTCAGGTATCATATTAAACCCCCAAGTTGTCATCAGGAACTTCACTATATAACCAAATAATTTAGCCCTAAATGCCAATTTCAAAACTCCAATATCTAATAAACATGGGGAAAAATGACAACAAGAATAATAAGTCCTTACCAAGTATTTCAATGTACGTAAAGAGAAGCCTTTAGTATTCGATAGATGATCAACTAGCCGACCAGGCGTAGCAACCTAGAAAATATAAGACAACAATCAACTCAACAAATCATGCAAAATTAGCAGCTTTTATCAGCAACGAAGTTTCAAGAAGACAAACAAATGGATACATGAACTTCAAGGGAGGTCGAATAATAACTAATTGATTTACAACCTCAAATTCTTACAATATGAACACAAATGGCTACATCTGTTATCTCATACAACAAAGCCTTGATATGTAATGATAATCTAACAATGTAACATCACAGAATGCTATGGGATTGAAATTATAAATTTAACCAAACTACAAAACACAATATCTTTCATCCAATGAAACTAAATTAAAACCCAAACTCACAACAACATGCGGCCGCTTTCCTAGGGCAATGCTCTGCTGCACCATGTCCACACCTCCGACAAGCTGCATGGAAAACATGGCAAATGAACTAATTTAGCCAACAAAACACCAAAATATTTCAGATAATCAAAGGCACAATATATCATCGCAGTAATTTTGATTTACCACAGCACACTTGACGCCAATTCCAGAGCCCAAGGCTTCGAACTGCTCCGCAATTTGAATGGCGAGTTCCCGCGTTGGGGATAGCACGCACGCGAAAAACGCCTGGGGTGTTTCCAACAGTGATTGAAGAATTGGAATGGCGAAGGCTCCAGTTTTGCCCGAACCGGTTTGGGCGAGCCCGATTATGTCCCGTCCCTCCAGAGCAACAGGTATCGATTCAACCTGAATTTTAGTAGGAGTTTTCCAGCCGAGAACGTCGCACGCCTCTGCGAGCTGCTCGTTCACCCCCAAGTCCTTGAACGATCTATCCTCCTTCTCCTCCGCCATTGAAAGATCAAATTAACGATTTCGAGCAAATACCGCGGCGATTACAACACAAAGACGCAGGCCGGAATGAAGAACAGGCGACGAAGACTCTCAAGTAGACAGCAATCGATCAGAAACTGTAGAGTGTAATTGTTAGGGTTCCTCGCTCATACAGCTGCACCAGGGCGCAGGCGCAGTGGAACAGTAGAACTAAGGAGCAGGGTTGGTGAAGTGAGGAAGAAGAAGAAGAAAGGAAAAGAATTGGGGATGAAGAAGCAACAGAGAACCTGGTGCGACCGTGCGGCGTGCTGGCTGCGAGCTGCGGCGGCTCTGGAGGGGGTGGATGTGTAAATATATCGATTAGGTCAAAATAAAATTCTGTGTATTTTATAATAATATTTATACTTAAACTTATATATTATTATATTTTTTAAAAAATCAAATATTATTAACATTAATAAAAATAAATAATTATTAATGGTATTATTTTTTATATTTACATTTTATAATTTTTATTATTTCAATAATTATATTTAAATTAAATTATGTATTATTTAATAAACTAATGTTATTTTAATTATTTATTTGAATTTTATTATTTTTATATTGTAACAATCAAATTAATTATTATTTATATAATTTTTAGATAATAAATAAATAATTATTATATATCTAAATAAAATTTAAATTTAGAGAAATAAAAAAATAAGAAATAAAATTATTATAAATAAATATATATATATATTTAAATATTTATTTGAGTTCTGACATATTATATTTCAGTCGGTAAATAGGAATTGCATTAGTCTCTTCAAACATCATAGAGCAATGCTTTGATCATTGCATTACAAGATCTTCAAGCATCGTATATGGACAATCAAATGTTCCATTGGTTCGAAAAAGGCGAGTGACAGTGACTTGAGTTGTGGCTGATTTGAATTTATCACCTCACAAGCAATTTGTGTATTTTTTTATATTTTTTTATGACGTAAAAATCCGCAGTCGATACTCGAAAGTGCACACTGGATAAATTTCCGGTCAAACTTAATACCCTACAAACCAGGCTTCACGGAAAGCAATTTGTGTATTTTTTTTTTATGACGTAGAAATCCGCAATCACTACTCGAAAATGCACACTGGATAAACTTTCGGCCGAACCTAATACCCTTCAAACCAAAGCAATTTGTATTATTGATCATATGTACCGTTACTAAAATTATCATTCTATAATCATAACAATAATCGAAAACTCTTACCTTTGAATCGTCCGTTGCATAAGTATGTACTAAAATTTGTCTCTTATTGGATCTCTGACTGGAAAAATTTTCATTACCCATGTACGAGGCAATACACATGCACATGTTTTATGAATATGTATATATATATATTTCATATTGTGTTACCTTATTATTCTCATCATCCTATGCAAATATAAACATTTAAATAAAATATAATTAATAAATAATTATGTAGTATATTATTATATATTAAAATAATTGAATAATTTAATTAAAATTTAAAAATAAAATTTAAATTTAAAATATGATTAAAATATATAATTATATTTTCAAAATAAAAAAACAAATTATGTGGGACAAATGTAAATAAAAAAAATAATTATATGGAATAGAAAAAATATATTACCAAAAATATGTGTTGGGTAGATTATTGCATTGAGTATTATACATCTATATATTATATTTGTACTGTATCAATATAAATGATTTATATTTTAGTAGCAGTAGATTTGTTGTGTGCTACATACGATGTCCTGCCAGGAGGTGCTGATAGCAGCCAAATTATTATTACGAGCGAGTAATGATAAATATAATAATAAATAATCAACTTGTCCCCGCGTTGACAAAGTCAAATATTAGGTTTAGCTTTATTGGTTTGGACAGGCCGGCTGTCACCCCACTTTTCGGTCGACTCTCGTTAAAGTTAGTTTGAGTATAGTAGTTTAGTTTTAAGTAAATATTGTTATTTTTAATAAAATATATTAATTAATTTGTATAACTATTATATTTAAATAAACAAAATATAAAACAAAATTTTTAAAATATACTAATTGTCATAGTTTTCTTTTATAAAATATATTAATATATAAAATTCTAAAATACAATAACAAATTAAACACAATCCAAATACGACAAAGATAAATAATCAATTATCTGTCAATAATAATCTTGGTTTGGATGAGAGGGACATTAGTGAAATATATATTCATATATTATTTTTTTAATCTCAAATAATAGAGAAGCATTCAACTCTTCCCATAATATTTTAACAAAAAATGATTTGATAAAATCTCTTAAACGTATATTTAATTTCCTATTTATCCCATCGTTGACCCAAACCATTGACTTCTCTAATTCCAAGAAGCTTCCTCCCACACACCTATAATTAAAGACAGTGAAAGGAGTCGATCAGAACACCCGCGCACCCATTAATCCAACGGTCTAGATCAATCTGGATCCCAAGTCCAGGTGCTTCCAATAAAAATCCACAGAATGCCACGAAAATAACCTCTTATTACGCCCATGGTGATGGAACATGTGTTTCTTTCGATAACGATCAAAATGAATGTTCCAAAATTCTTAATCCCTGCAATTTTGGTCCTCTTGATTTCATGTCTACCTGCAATTCTTGCCCAGCAGCCGTACGTCAGAAAAGCCGGGACGGAGTGCGGAGTCCGGGACAATTCCACCACCGTCCTCGGCTACTCCTGCAACGGCCTCCGCCGCCGCTGCCAGGCTTACGTCACTTTCCGGGCAAATCCGCCGTACGCCTCCGTCGCCGACATCGCCACTCTCCTGTCCGTTAACTCCACCGAACTTTCCCAACTCAACGGCGTCCGTGCAAATCACGTGTTCCAGACAAACCAGATCGTCCTCGTGCCCGTCACGTGCTCCTGCTCTGGCGACCACTACCAGGCCAACGTGTCGTACGTCGTCCGGCCGGAGGAAACCTTCTGGATCATCGCGAACAACACCTTCCAGGGACTGTCCACGTGTCAGGCGATCGAAGTTCAGAACAATATCCCCGCCGTCGATTTGCCCGCCGGAGCACGAATCACGGTCCCTCTCCGATGCGCCTGTCCGACGAGGAACCAGACCGCCGCCGGCGTTAATTATTTGCTGTCTTACCTCCTCACCTGGAATCAATTCGTCTACTCCGTCAGTGTCCAGTTCGGAGTCGACACAGATTCGACCCTCGCCGCCAATAAATTGTCGGAAACCGATTCAACAGTATATCCATTCACAACCCTCCTAATTCCCCTCCAGAACCCTCCGACAGCCACTCAATCGGCAGCTTCGCCTCCGCCGCCGCCCCCCTCCGGCAGCCTGTCTCCGCCGCCTGCCCCTTCCCCCGGCGGCAGTTCGAGCAAAACATGGGTCTACGCCGTCGTCGGCGCCGTCGGCGGGATTCTTCTCACATCCGCCGCCGGCGGATTAATCTTCTGCCTATTCTTCCGGCGACGGCGGCGGACGCCGCCGAAACCCGATCCCACGTCGTCCGAGAGCTTCGAATCCGTCGAAAAACCGCTCACCGTCGCCGCCGGGGAAGACTCAGTGGATTTCATGGAAAGCCTGTCGAGCATAGCCCAATCACTAAAAATCTACCCTTACAAAGAACTGAGATCAGCGACACAAGATTTCAATCCCAGCTGTTGGATCAAGGGATCCGTCTACCGCGGCACGATCAACGGTGATCACGCTGCAATCAAGAAAGTGAACGGCGACGTGTCGAAAGAGATCGCCCTGTTAAACAAGATCAACCATTTCAACCTCATCCGCCTCTCTGGCGTCTCGTTCAACGACGGCGATTGGTACCTTGTCTACGAGTACGCTTCCAACGGCCCTTTGAGTGATTGGATTCATCAAAATAGCGAAGATAGGATCATCCTGAATTGGGACCAGCGGCTCCAGATCGCGCTGGACATCGCCGCTGGTCTTAATTACCTCCACCGATACACGTCGCCGCCGCACGTCCACAAGGACTTAAACAGCACCAATGTCCTCCTTGACCATAATCTCCGGGCAAAGATCGTGAATTTCCGGCTGGCGAGATCGGCCGACGGGCAGGACAGCCAATTCGCTCTTACAAGGCACATTGTCGGGACAAAAGGATACATGGCTCCCGAGTACTTGGCGAACGGGGTTGTCTCGACAAAGCTCGATGTGTATTCATTCGGCATTCTTCTAATGGAAATTCTCACCGGAAAGGATGTCTCCTACTTCTCCGATGAAGCGAATGCGACTCAATTTTCCGACATATTGTCGCAGGTGATGCAAGAGAGCAATTGGCAAGAAAATCTCAAGAATTTAATGGATTCTTCTCTTGAAGGAAAATATCCTCCTGACATTGCCCGGATTATGTTCAAATTAATCGATAGTTGTCGAAAGAAAGATCCCTCCGATCGTCCTACAATGGACGACATTTTCCAGGCCCTGTCGAGGCTTCAAACTTCAACCCCGACAGGGGATTGGACAGTCAGCATCAACGAGCAACGGACAGCGCCTAGGTAGATAGGTTGTAGGGGCTGGTAGTTGACTATAAGTTTTTTGTCACCGTCATGTCCGCGTGTAATGTAACTGCCATTGTTGACCAAAATCCTATTGGACAAGTAATCTTGATTTTCAAAAAGGCCGGCAGTGCTGCTGCAACATTTTCATATTTTATTGCGAATTAAATATGATCAGTAGTTGGGACAAGGTCCTCCTGCTCTAGAATATGCTCTCCAATGATTTATTAACTTGAGCCTCTGCAGATGCATAATCGAAATTCTACAACAGAAAAAAAAATAAAAAAAAAAATGTACTTTTTACTTCCATGGTTTCTTACAACATTGATTCTCTCATCCTCCATTTCCTTAGCTCAACAGAACTATTCAGGAAGCCTGAAATCGACCTGTTATAACAGTGATAAAACAGGGCCATCCCCTGCTTTTCTCTACACGTGCTATCACGTGACACCTTCTTGCACTGCTTTCTTGATCTTTAGAACCAAGCCTCCCTACCTTACAATCTCCTCCATATCGGCCCTCGTTTCTTCCCAGCCGTCCGATCTCAATCTCGACCTCGATCTAAATCGAATCAATGACGTCTCGAGTAGTACGACGGTGTTGCCTCCCGGCGACACGGTCGTGTTGCCGGTAAGATGTTCTTGCTCGGGGCAATACTATCAGGCGAATACCTCATATGTCGCCGATGACGACGACACTTATTACACAATTGCAACTGAGACATACCAGGGGCTTACGACATGCGACGCGCTAATGCGCGCAAATCCTTATGATCCGTTAAATGTGTCGTCGGGGTTGGAATTCCAAGTGCCGCTAAGGTGCGCGTGTCCTACGATCGGACAGATTGCGAACGGCACAAGGTTCATGCTGACGTTCGTTGCGACAGCCAACGATTCGCTGTCTGAAATCAGTGAAACATTCAATGTAAGCATCGAAAGTATAGCTTCAGCCAACGGGTTTAATTCGCTAGATCCGAGAATTTATCCGTCGACGACGATATTGATTCCGCTGACAAATACCCCTTCGGCGACGACAATCAAACCTTCATCTCCAACGATGCCTCGGAAAACTAGACATAAAATGTCGCGTATAGGGTTGTTCGTCGGATTAGGAAGCGGCGCAGCTCTTGCAGTCCTCTGTTTTGCTCTGTTTCTAGGACTGTCCGGTTATTACACGAGAAAAAGAACGATCAACGCCTCGAAAATCAGACAGGGAGTGTCCGGAATTGGCGGAACCTTGAAGGTATACACATACGAAGAACTCCGGGAAGCCACCGACAACTTCAGCGACAAAAACCAGTTGAGCAAATCCATTTACAGAGGAAGTCATCGAGGGAATCCAATAGCCGTCAAGAAAATGGACAAAGGCGCGTCGAAGGAGATCAAAATCCTCGGAAACGTCAACCATTTCAATCTCATTACACTCTACGGCGCATGCTTGCACGGCCGCGTTTCTTACCTCGTCTACGAGTTCTTACAAGAAGGCTCGCTAAAAGAATGGCTCCACAAAGAAAACGCGCCGCTCATCGGGAGCTGGCATCGCCGGATTCTCATCGCTTTGGACATCGCCAGTGGGCTCGATTACCTCCACAACTGTGCTAATCCGGGTTACGTCCACAAGGACATCAATAGCGGCAACATTTTGCTAACCGGAGACTTGAGGGCCAAGATCGCGAATTTTAGCCTTGCGAGAGACTATAACGGTGATCGACGAACGAACAATGTGGTGGGCGAGAAGGGGTACATGGCGCCCGAGTATGTTCGGGAGGGGAGAGTGACGGCAAAAACGGATGTCTACGCGTTTGGGGTTGTGCTCTTGGAATTGATCACCGGGAAAGATGCGATCGCTCTCTCAAATGAGATTGTGTCGGTTTTCGATAGAGTCGAATCGGCGGATGATGTCGGTGGCCTTATTGATGCTCGGCTCAGATACGAGCATCCGCTCGGGTATGTTGTCGAGCACACAGAGCTTGCCTGGCGACTGCTGAAAGTCGCCAAGGCATGCTTGGCTCGAGACACTGGTGACAGGTTAGCTGCGGTAGAAATTGTTGTTAAGTTAGTGAAAATCTTAGGAGATGTCCAGAGTTCTCAATAGTTACCAGTGACAGGTAGAGCTGTTAGTCGAGTTGAACGAGCTGAGTAATGGTTGTTCGAACTCGACTCGAATTTGTTATCGATACAGGCTCAATTCGGTTCATTAAGAATTCGAACTAAAATAGTAATTCGAGCTCGACTCGTTAAGCTCAAATTAATGAATTAAAATAGTAGTTCGAGTTCGATTCGTTAAATTCAAATTAATGTAAGATCAATTTTACTAAAATAGAAAAATAATATTTTGAATGAAACGAAAAAAAAAAATAATAATAATAATAATAAAAATAACAATTTGAGTTGAAAAAAAAGAAAGTATTAAAACCCGTATCCATAAATTTTTTACATAAATTTGAAAAACAAAGTATATTTTGTGTCCCAGTTGGCAAGACAAGTGGAGCATAGTCCTCTGCTATAGGTTAGTTCTATTTGGGCCTTATTACAATTCGGGTCCAATCAACTGTCCAATCCAAAAATGGCATTACGGGCCACGTGGCCCGTCTCCGTTAACGGTCACCAGCCATCCAATTCCCCGTCCACTACGTTACGTGTCGCCCTACGACGCCGTTTCCCCACAAGGACCACCGTGCACCCACGTGGCCGCGGCCACACCCTGCCGGCAGCGCCACCACTCCGCGGTGGAGGACCACCGCGTAATCCCATCCCATCCAAACTGCTTAATTAAATTTAATTAACTAATTAATAAATCGCCTTCCAATTATTCCACGTCCTTGTCTTATTTCAATTTGCAGTTTTACCCCACTATTTTAATTTTATTGAATCGGCTCTGTAAAATCTGAAAACTATTATCTTCTAAGATTTTTTTAAACAAATGTTGCACGTGGATGTTAAATAAAAATTAAATAAAGATTTTGAGGGTAATACATGAAAATTATTGTATTATTATTATTATTATTATTATTATTATTATTATTATTATTATGTGATAAAAATAAAATGTGGAGCCATACCATGAGAATGTTGGTCCTGTCCTTAATGCTAATCAGACAAGAAAGTGACCCAATTTATGAGAAGGACGCCACAATTAAATAAACTCTTGGCATTTTGTGCAATCAATTTTCTGTCATACTCTGTTAATTCACCACAATTATTATTCTTCTTCTTATTATTATTGTTATTATTATTATTATTATTATTATTACAGATATTTCAGACTACATTTCAAAATTTTGAATTTAGGGTTACATTACTGCAAAATTGAAAATTATTATTGGGTCTGTCCAACGTAAAAAATAAAAAACGTGCCAAAATTCTCCGTATGTTAATTTGTATATTGTTTTGATATTTTTAAAATAAATTTAATTATAGAATCCGAAATTTGAATAAAAATTTAAAGAAAAAAACGAAAAAAAAAAACACATTCATACAACTTATAACTTTTCATTTGATTTTTTTTTTAATACTCCCCCCCGTCCCACATAATTTGTGCATATTTTCTATTTTCGTCCGTCACACGTAACTTGTCCTTTCTATTTTTGGAAATATAATTATGCACTTTAATCGCATTTTAAATTTTATAATTTTTTTAATTTTAATTAAATTATTTACTTATTTTAATCTAAATCTATAATTATTTTTACTAAATAATAATTTATTTTTACTAATACACTTCTTATTTATTTACTAATTATAATTTACCTAAATTCTCGTATCTACAGTAATACACCCATATTGTATGGGACGGAGGGAGTAGTAGATTAAAAATTATTAATATATTGATGAGTGGATTTATGGTAAAATGGAAAAAAAAAATTAATATAATTGAATTTTAATAGAATAAAGAGTGAATTGTGTGATAGTAATTTATAAATGAAAACGAGTACAAATGAAAAAAAAAAAAAGTATTATAAAAGATTAATAATTTTTATACAATAAAAATAAAATAAAAGAGGAATTGAAACTTGAAAGACTCCTTTTGTTTTTTAATGCCAACACTATCACCGTGCATTAAAATGTGGGCTTTGCATAAATAATTGAATAAAAATTATAATATTAACACTATTTAATAATACCAATAAATTAAGGTTTTGTTTGTTTTGGTTTCTAAAAAAGAATCTTACATTGTACAAGCTATATATTAATGTATTGTTTTCATTTTCCTAAAGAATATATTTTACATATATTTATTATTCAAACATATTATATGAAAAATAATAACATATTCAAATGACATATTTTTATTAGAGATAATATATTTATATGTAAGTATTTATAATTTTTAAAACATTTAAAAAAAAAAAAAAAAAAAACACTCCAAAAAAAATACAATTTTAGTTATGTCAAATAAGTTGGAAAATTTTAAAATTCTATGATAGCTATTTCAAATAAATTGGAACAATTTAACATATTTAAAACTTTTTGGGTGTTTTTGTTTTGTGAGATTTTGAAAAAAAATAAATTTATGTTAGACAAAAAAAAATTGAATAGGAATATAAAAACAATAAATGTGCTTCAGTGTTTTCATCTTTTATAAAAATAAAAAATAGTTTTATGGGAATAGTGGTTATTGAAAATGAGAGTTTAATACAATATTTTAAAAATTAATGTGTTTAAAAAATATATAGTGGATATTTAGAAAAAAAGAAAGAAATATTATAATCATATATACCAAATACCAAATAATTATATATATATATATATATATGGGTGGACCCAATATGTACATATGTGAATATACAACCTTAAATAGTCATACACCAATTAAATAAACATTTTTGGATATGACTTATGCAAGATACTTTCTAATAAATTAACTTATCTACTTAACTATACTTTAATCTTTCACCTCATTGAAATTTATGATTGGATTTTTTTGTATGTGTTTTAATTTGAATATGTAATACTTGTTGCACAAAAATTTTAAAAATATTATATTATAATGATAGTTGGTTAGTTTTTATGCTAAACAGATAAATTTGTTATTTGACTTTATGTGTAATTTATATTGATATTTAGATGAATAAGTGTGATTGAAAAAATATTTGTAATAGTAAAACTATAAATAGTTATTACAGAAAAAAGAAAAAAAAATACAACTCTAGTAAATGAACATTAAAAAAAATAGAAAATGTAACGGTTGTATTATGACAAAAGGAGTACTGTAGTTTAGACAACTAAATTTTTTAATATATGATTCTCAAATATATAACATAAACAACTTATTCCCAACCATTATCTATGGAGTATTTATTTACTATTATTACATAATTGATAAATAGTGTGTAAAAATATATTGACTAAGGTAATACTCTCTCCGTCCCGTCGGAGATGACCTTATTTTCTTTTTAGTACGTCCCATAAAAGATGATTTATTTCCATTTTTTTTTGTAAGTTTATCACTCTTAAAAATATTTAATAAATATAAATCAATTTAATTAAACTTCTATCGTCTTATATGTAGGACCACTAAAAACTCCTTTATTTCTACCTCTCCCCCCAATTAACAAATATTTTTATTTACCCTTAAAACTCCTCGTATCTTCAACTTATTATTAATAACTTAATAACTTACATTACCTAAAATACCGTATCTCTTAATGTGATATAAATATACATTATAAATGATGAGTTTGTTTACCATTTTTTTTGTGTTACGATTCTCAATAAATATTACTCCCTTCGTCCCACATACTATGTCCACATTGCCGTTTCTGTCCGTCCTACATTCAATGTCACTTTCCTTTTTTGAAAAATGATTATACACTTTAATCTCATTTTAAACTTTTTAAATTATATTTTTTAAATTTTAATTAAACTAATTAGTTATTTTAATCTTGATTTATAATTATTTATATTATATGATAATTATTTTCACTAATACATTGTTAATTATCTACTAATTATACCCCTCATAAAATAACGTGTTTACAGTGTAGCAGACGCGGTATGTGGGACAGAGGGAGTATAAAAATAATATACTCCCTCCGTCCCGCTGTAAGGTTGTCATTGGTTTTTTGTATGTTGATTTTTAAATATTAATTATTATATCAAGACGTAGTACAAATCAATAAAAAAAAAACGCAAAAATATGTTTATTAGTCTCTTATAATATCAATACAATAACATTTTTAGAGTAAATTATTCAAATATAAGGATATTTTTACTGTCAAATAGAATGACGTAAAAATCAAATGACAACCTTGCAGCGGGACGGAAGGAGTATTTATATATATATTAACACAATATGTATAATATATATTTCGTTCACTTATAATTGACACAATTCTTTTGTAATTAACGTATAAAATCACATCCATAAAAATAAAATAAAATAAAAGAAAAAGAAAAAAGAAAATAAAAGACAAAATCAACACATCCCATATATTGATATTGTATAGAAAATAGATAATTAAGTAATGCTATATTTCTTGAGAAAGTCACGATTATTAAATAATGTCAAAAACTTAAAATAATATATATATATATATATAAATATGAAAATAAACCCTTACGGATTGAATAATTAAAAAAATTATCACTCATTCCTTCAGCAATCAATAGATTCATTTTAATAGTTTGAGTAGTTCATGATTAATAAAATACGTATTCATGTGATAATAAAATAATGTTTATATTTTATGTAAATTACCAATATATTTGTATTTTATTTTGTAATATATTAACTATATTTTCAAGGCCATTTTAATCAATACACCTTTATACAAACATATAAATAATTGTGTTCTTTAAGTTTTTCTTTTTTCTCCCACACCTTTTTTCTAAAAAAACAAATAAATTACACACATTAGTTTTTTATTATTATTATTATATACACAATTTTCTATACTTCACATTAAAAAAAAAAAAAAAAAAAAAATTCAAATTATTTAACAAAACAAACACAACCAATGTTTGGCTACCGTATATACTCCCTCGGTCCCACATAATTTGTCTATATTTTCTATTTTCGTTCGTTCCACATAACTTGTCTTTTCTATTTTTGAAAATATAATTATACACTTTAATCACATTTAAATTTTAAATTTTATAATTTTTTTTAATTTTAATTAAACTATTTAATTATTTTAATCTTAATTTATAATTATTTTTACTAAATAATAATTATTTTTACTAATACACTTTTTAATTATCTACTAATTATATTTTACATAAATTCTCGTATATACATTAATAAGTCCAAAATATTTGGAAAAATATTTGGAACCAAGGGAGTAATAAATATTTCG